GCCATCTATGGATTCTATTGTTGGAACATCTTGGTTTGTTTGAGGTGCTTTGTTCTCTTGGTTTTTTTTTTTGGGGGGGGGGGCGTTTCATGTGTGTCTTCCCATCTAGTGGTATGGATCTGAGGCAGTACTGTTTCTACCCTGTAATCTTATAGTGTCATGAAGGCTACCAGTACCTCACCATTAAGAGGGAGACCAATATTAACAGCACCAATGCAAATAATATACAAACTTAAACTTAATAGCTCCTGTTAAGGCATCTACAGTTCTATCTCAATAGACAGAAATTATGTGTTCAATCATTGTCTGCAATATAAACAGTAAGTTTGTTAAAAGCATTTACCATTTCAAATGATGGACAAAGATGGAACAGAAGTAGTGTAGGACGTGATGTTATGAGGGAGGAGAGAGGATAGAGGTAAAAATTTATAGTAAGGACTAAGGAGGAATTAGTAGAGGTTAGCTGTTAGCATGAGAGAAATGAGAAAGAAAATATAAGGAGACATATTAGAGAGAGAAAAAATATATACAGATTTTTTTAAGTCAAAAATATAAGAATATACAACTAAACCGTAATATACTATTTGACTTCCCACTCTTCAATAAATTGATGTGTAAAAAATGTTTTAATTCTGAGATAGTAGAGATGTGAGAGAGAGGGGAAAGAAAAAAAAAGAAAAGAAAGAAAAGTCTCTATGGGAAATTGCCAATTGCATTCATTGGCTTTCAAAAATTTTCTCAGCTTTCCTTCTCTACTGGTAGGTTGGGACTGTCTGATGTTTGATAGTAGCTCTAGTCTGGTGGGTGTCACACCAGTTGGCAGTGCCAGCAGATAGCAAGATTCTCTCATACCCTCTTCCAGTCTTCCCACCCATTGTAGCCAGGGCCTGTGATCACGGCTCACTTCAGGACTTTTACTAAGCAGATGAGAGCCCAGTTTTCTCAAGTTTCTCCAACCTGTGCCCCCCCCTCCCCCAGAGAATTTCCTCCAGTCTCTGTCTTTCCACAGGCTTCTCAGGCCCAGACTGGCACACACAGACCCTGCTGCAATCTGATGGACCTGGGCTTCAGCTTCCCCAGGCTCAGCCTTGCTGCAGTACTGCGATCTCTAAGCTCTTCCAACTTGCAGAAAGACCACCAGGGATACACTCATACAAAGGAGCAATCCTGCAAAGAGGCCACTAGCACACCCAGCAGATGGTGGCCACTAGCACACCCAGCAGGAAGACCTCAGGTGCAACCAGACCTTCAGGTACCCCAACAATATATTATACAAACCTGGACAGTGTCCCCAGACTGAGGCAGCTGCACCCTGAGATAGTGGAGGTAGCTGCAGCAAACCTGCAGGCCCCTTGGCTCTGGACCCCCAGACCCTGGCTGGTGTCCCAAAATGGCAGCTGCCATGTGCAGCCAAACCTGCGGGTACCCTGACAATGGATTTCCAAGCAGCAGCAGGCACTCCATGGTCAGTCTGGGGTACTCTGCAGCCAAACGTCAGATGCTCGGCAGGTAGATGTCAGGTGGCTGGTGATGTGCAGGGTAAAGTAAGCAATGGACACCTGGAATGTGGATCAGTGGTGGCAGAGGCCTATAGACTCCAAACATCCCTCTCAGATCCCAAGAGGAAACTGTCTTTAAAACTTTGGTCCTTTAAGGCTGCTGTTATTGTGACTATTAACTTTACCCACTTCTTGGTACACTGCTTTCATTCTCTTAGTTTAAATTTCTGCCCAAGATATGTTGATATTACCCTCATTCATCCTAGATACAACTGAGTTTCCAGATTTGGGGCATTTTCAACTTCTAGAATTTGATGTTTTCAACCCCTAGGAATTTCTACTCATACCTAAACTATGCTTGAAGTAAATAAGATGAAATCTTAACTTTAACCATTCCATAAGCAATTCTCTTGCTCTGTGGCTTCTACCACATCTCCATGCATCAAATTCCTGATCCACCAGAGCTGCAGTCATTGGGTCTCTCTTCTTTCCCCTGTGAAGTTCCCATACAAGCAATGTATTCACATTGCATTGAATAATAGAGTAAATGAAAACTGGTAAGACTCCTCTCATTCTGCATTTCTCCTGTAACTGACCTGCTTCTGGGTGAGGCCTGTCATTTCCCCCTATTGGTCTGTCCTTGTACCAACTACCTAGGAGAAACATGTCTATAATGAGAAGTAATTGTTCTACTTGTGCTTACATGAATCCATTCTTTTAGAACTGAGTATCCAACCAAAAGACTCATTTGGTCTGTAATAAAGCTTAAGGTATTACAAGGTTTTAAGAACGTGCTAAGCAGGTCAAAATCTAGGCAACTAGAAACCTCAAGTATAAAAAAATCATTGTTTTTTCATTATGACTTCAGTGACCAAGATGGTTGTCTCCCCAACATCCCTTTCCCTCAAGATTATTTCTTTGGGTCACTTACCTTAATTCATTTGGCCTTACCATGTGGTAACCATGGAAAAAACCCAGTACTAGGTAATCCACATGAGAAGAATCCTGCTGGAGGCTGCCTTCCCTGTAAATGTCTAAGAAGTTTATTATACAAAGACGTGACTCCTCCTCCTACACTGGTTATTGAGCTGCTGTGCTGGGTGGTCTGCTGTCAGTCTGAGAATGATGTCAACCCCCAGAAATGGAAGAGCCAGGAGCAGACGGGAGAATTTCTGGACACTCATGAACAAGATCCAAAACTTATTCTTTCTTTGGGTTTTTGTTATAGAAATAAATCTGTCTATGAGGTTTAAGCCAAAATGATATTTTTGTAAGCTTTTTTTGCCTTGATGTAGCCAAACAAAAGCAACCACCAGAGATAACAAGTTTCTCCTTGAAACCCCTAGTCTTCATTGCATTTTGCCCACATGCAAGAGCATTCAGAATCACTGAGAACTTCTCAAAGCCTCTGGAGACATAAGCCCCATAGGTTTCTTTCTTTCTTTTTTGTTTTGTTTTGTTTGTCTCCATCCTTTTTTGTAATTTTTAATTGATTTTTTAAGAAAAAATTATAGCAGAATGCATCACAATTCTTATTAGCACAATTTTTCATATCTCTGGTTGTATATAAAGTATGTTGACACCAATTCGTGTCTTCATACATGTACTTTGGATAATGATGTCCACCACATCCCACCATCCTTGATAATCCCCCTATCCCCTCCCTGCCCCTCCTATCCCTTCTAAGAGTTGACCATGGAATGTGCAGAAGCTGTAGCAAAGTCTCAAAGGGCCTCATTTTCTTCTCTATTCTTCTAGAATCATGGTCAGTAGAAGAGACTACTGGTGGTTATTTTAATTATTTTCATTTAAAAATGAAAAGAAAAAAATGAAATTTCTTCTATTTTCTAGGATACACTAAGATTTTGTTGCAGACATTTTCTAAGGTACATGAAAATGGCACCTAACAAAAGTGGTGCCATTTATGTACCTTAGAATTTATTTTTTGCATCTCATGCCATGAAATCTGGTGTTTTCTGGACTATGAGTATCAAGCTGCCTCTCTGATCTGCTGAGGCATGCCATTTAATCTCCACAACTATCTAAGAGATTAAGCTGCTGCCTGGCTAGGAGGATGAAGCAAGGTGTTCTAGAGATGATAAGCACAGCCATGTTACCTCGTATCTCCCAAAGTCTGTGACAAAATATGACACAGTGACTTTCAGTACACTAACTTTGTTTTGGGGGAAAGAAATTGATAGCTCTGTTGACACCACCCACAGACCAAGACCACACTGTGCAAGGCAGCTTTGGCAATGGTGGGCAAAAACACTCTGAAATTGCCTACCATCTGGAATCCCGTTTATCTTCATTGCATGCTTTTATTTCATTTACACAATTGACTATTTATAGATTTTGTATACTGCTCATTCACCAACTCCAGTGCTTTCTTGATGTTTCCATGGGAGAAATATGTTTCAAAGTTTTTTTTGTTTGTTTGTTTGTTTTTGCGGGGGGGTTCATTATGGTGATATCTGAGTGGGATTCATGATGCCAAATTCATACATTCACATAACATTTGATCAATTTCAAACTTCTATACCTTCCTTTCCTGTCTATGAGATTTAAACTAGAGCTTTGCTAGTCCAACATTTTCTCACATCACTCTGTATTCTAAATTTCCAGGTGATTTATGAGATTCCTTTCTATGAATGCATCTTAATTGACAGAAATATTTCCAAACATATTGTAAATAAGGTTGGTTCAGCTTTTCTTCTTGATGCTAATCGTGACTCCAGTAATGGCATTGGATAAAGTATACAAAATGTTCTTTTCTGTCTGCAGAATATAATTATCAAAAGAGCATTTGGTGGGAGGAAGACTTGCAGAATACAGAAAGGGAATCAAGAGGGAGGGAAAAGGGAAGACATTGGGAAGTAACTAAGGAATGAAATCTACTTATTATGCTATTTCCGTGTATGCATATTACACATTAAAACAATAAATCAATCATCTGCATATATTCATGTACATATATATCACAGTAATTAAAATAACAATAATGGAAGGTCAGAAGAGTAGAGCAAGCAGATCAAGGGGAGGGAGGAGAACAAGGAAGGGGGAGGTATTGAAGTTTGAAATTGATCAAATGTTATATGCATGTATGAATTTGGCATCATAAATCCCACTCTTATATATCACTATAATGCACCCCCACAAAAAAAAACTTTGAAACATATTCTCCTCATGCTCCTTCCTGGCCCATTCCCCTCTCACATCCTTGACAACCATTTGAAAGGAAAACCTCATTCCCCAGGTTCCAGAGCTCATCCTTGCCATGGGTACTTCATCTTATGGACCAAAAGCCATGATCTAAATGCAGTGTTTTCTTGTTACTCCATGGGCTAGAGAAGCACTGACTGGTAAGTATCAATCGCTACTTCCCTAGTGCCTGAGAACTCCTATCTACTCCCACTCCAGAAAGGTAATGTTAATTTTTGCTCAAAATGAATCAAAAATAAACTAATCATATATATAACAGAGACACTGAAGGTAAGAAACTTGAGGGAAAAAACTTTATTTTCAAAAAATTGATGGATATTTAGTGCCTCCTTTACCAAACTGGTGAATTTTGCTATAGCAAAAAGTGAGAAGCTAAGAAATATGTATTAACAGAAATGATTTCTCCAATCAGCATCAATTGAGCTGTCTCCCGCATGATTATCAGTGTGGGGGATCCTTGTAGAAATCATGAAATGGTGTCCATGTTAGTATTCATCATCAAATGGATACTCTGGGTGGTTGGTCATCCTAAAATAAGAAAGAAAAATGTGCAACATAGACTCAGAGACTCCATTTCTACAGGGGTGAAGAAGTGATACCTATGGAGCTCCATTATATTTCCGGAGTGGCTGTAGACTCTGCTGTTCCTACTTTCATGAACCTAGTTTTACTGGAAATGTCTATTCCCCTGCCAAGAACAGAACTCACAGACACCAGAATTCACTTATATTTCTCTCTTTTACTTAGCACTATCAGTCAATCTACCAAAGCAAAGAAATCCTTTCTTCTTCCTTATTGTCAGTGAAGCAGAAACAGATTTGCATCATGTTTATTTACTTACTTTGTGGAGAAGACACTTCCATTTATGCCATGTTTAATGTAAGCACAAGCTCAGATATTGACCAATACAAAAAGTATTTTAGGTGTACAGTATATTGCTAGTAATTTCACTAATTTATTCATTATTTGCTCATGGCCCATCACACATGTCATGCTGCTAAATTCAGATATGGAAAGAATATTGTTTTTAAGAGAGACCTGCAAATCCCAGGAGCTCACCGTGCAAATTTTACAATTTTCCTTTAGAAACAATACAACAGAAAATTGTTGCATCTTGAAATTTTTTATAGCTAGCAAGAATTGCCAGTTGCTTGCTACTGTTCTTCACATTATGTTCCTACTTCGTCTTTCATATATACTAATACAAAATTAGTAATGATAACAATATACCTGTAACTCTTTAAGAACATGCAATTATGGACTATCTAATCCCCTTTCAAACATCATATTTATTTGTATTATGAATTAACATTCCCACAGGCAGAAGAACATATATTCCTTGTTTACCCTCATTTATATTATTTGTTCAATTTCAGACTCTATAACTATAATGCATCAATAAAGAGTACAAATTTTTGGATAACAATAAATTCTCTTCAATAAGAATGTTTTATCAGCACATTCTTCCCTTGGTTTTGATCTCTTCACAAAAACTATTTTTTCCCTCTGCATTGAGATGTCTACATTTTCAAACTCAAAACCAAATGTTTTGACAGCCTCAAAGGAAAACTTTTGATAGTGAAATGCCATGTCTGGGTTCTGATAGAAACTGCACTGAAAAAGAGGGAAAAACTTGAAAATAAACAAAGGCCACACCTCTGCCAAAGTTACTTACAATGGCCAGGCAATATATTGAAAATTTCTGTTCAGGCCATCTAGGTCTTTCATGTCTTCTGCAGTCAACGTGAAATCAAAAACCTATCGCACAAATAGAAAGTTTTTAGCCTATGTAGACTGCACGTTGCCAATCCTGGAAATCCAATGAAATCAAACTGTTGCAGAAACATTTAAAATATTTGAAAAGGTTCCAGTAGTTATTAAAGACATCAAACAAAACACTCATGGTCAATAAATGTAAGTTGAAAATATAAAAAATTTCATTTTTGATATGTAATGTATGGAAACTGCACCAACTAGAGTCAAAGAGAATGTTAAAAAGAAGCTGTAGCAAAATAAAAGTAATGTTATTCCAAGACAAGTGTCAGGTATGTAAAGGACCCAAAAAAATCTAGAGGAAACATTTTGAACTGTGTAAAATAATTCAATAATTTTTAAGGATACAATTGATTTCTGTATTCCATCAATGAACAGTCAAAACTCCAACAAATGATTTTTATTCAACATTTTTAAGTCAGGAATTGTTAAAGTACTAATTATATCCTGTACAAATGGCAAAGGACCTAGCTCAAAGAGAATCACCTGGAGTAAATTTGAGACATTTTAAACACGGAAACAATTTTCACAAATTGCTCACATTCTGAAACAAATAGATAATTAAATCTTTAGTAATTTCCTTAAAAAATAGCAAGAGAGGGACTGGGGCTGTGGCTCAATGGTAGAGCCCCTGCTTCACGTGTATGAGGCACTGGGATCGATCATCAGCACCACATAAAAATAAATAAATAAAGATATTGTGTCCATCTACAACTAAAAGAAATGGTGAAAGAATAAAATGTTGATCATTTCACAATAAATGAATTAGATAAATAGGATTCACTGCTTTATTCTTTAAACTTTTCTGTACATTTGGAAATTCTCAAAAAGGAATATGTTATCTAAAGATTATCACAATTATCACTTCTGTATGAATAAATCTAACAGAACTTATACAAATGCCTTCATAGATCAGCTAAATGCAATATTTTAAAAGACAGGCTAAATTTCTGGACTCGTGTCAAAATCATGGATTAGAATCCTTAATATTTCAAAAGTAATTTATCTCCAAATTCACTGAGAGGTCAATAATGCAACATTAAGCAAACAAAGACAATCTTTATAGAGACAGATAATGTGATTCTAAATTCTTTATAATAGATCAAATGTTCATTATAATAGATCAAACTAGAATAGCCAAGATATTGTTAAAGGAATGAGAGCTAAGGGAATGCTTTGCAGTGTTTGAGAGACAGACTGATTTTCCAAGATAATTAAGACAATGGGAAGGAGCAAATAAGACAAGTGATGACAGAAATGTAGTCAGAAATGTAATACCTGTTGCTGGGAAGTTCGGCTAGTTATTTAAACATTATATGTGTATCTGGATCCTTGTTTCATATAATGTTTTTTAAAAATACTGCAATTGAATTAAATTTAGAATTAAAGATTGTAACCATTTGTAAAGTAATATAATAGAATAACATTGAGTTCCTGCTGGGTACTGTGGCACATGCCTGTAATCTCAGCAGCTTGGGAGGCTCAGGCAGGAGGATCATGAGTTCAAAGCCAGCCTCAGCAGCTTAGTGAGATTCTAAGTGATTCAGCAAGACCCTATCCCTAAATAATATATTAAAAATATTAAAAAGAGCCTGGGATATGTTTAAATTGTTAAGGCCCTGGGTTCAATCCCTGGTACCAAAAAACAAGGAAAGAAAAGGAATAATGTTGAATTCCCATTATAAGATAAAACATGACACTCATCAACCACAAAGTCAAGGCATGAAGACAACAATAAGAGAAGGAAGTTTGTTCATGAAAATATATCAAAAGGAGAATGAAGGCACAAGCAGAATGTGGGACAACATATTTCAACAAATACATCTGAATCTGAAAAACAATATCCAAAATATATAAAAGTGGTCAATTTGCAAAATTATTTGCCCAATAATTAACAAATCCCAGTTTCCAAAAATCTTTCCTATGTGAATTTGCAGCTGCTTTCACTAAGAGGCCGTGTCTATTTCCTCATCTCTTCAGTCTTGCATTGTCTATAACTTACAGTGGCCATTAGGACTTGGCAGAAGCAATGATGTGCCCACTCTGAGCATAGGCATGAGGAGGTTCTGCAAGGATCCATTCACTGCCTAGGAACAGTATTATGTGATGAGGTGAAGTCAGGGTTGTCAACAGGGAGATGTGAAGTTCTATGGAGGGGAGCTCAAACACCCCAGAGAACAGAGCAAGCAGGACTGAAGCAGAGGGAGCACACTGTTCTGCAGATGCATAGGAGAGTTCATTACAGAACAGGAGCAGCCAGTGTAGCTGGAAGACATTCGTGAGTTCAGGCTGAGCCAAGGCAAAGAGTCAAACCAAAGAATCATGAGATAAACAAATGCTCTTTGAACTAACCTCAATATTAAGGGTGGTTTGTTTTGAAATTGCTCTAAGTAATAGTTCAAAAAAAGTACTCCTACTTGAAAATGAAAACATAAACAACCCATTTAAATGGACAATGCATATACTGATAGTCAACAAGTGAAAAAACTCAAAGTGAATAAATATATGAATATTAAAATATATTGAGGATTGGGGGAAGTGTAAAATAAAATCATCACGTATGAAATAAAAATCACCTGATCCGAATTCCCATTTCAGAAAATAAAAACAAATACAAAGATGCCACTTGCAAGGGTTACCCAATTGTTTTAGACAGCTTTTCTCTCTGCTGTGACTCAAGGACCCAACCAGAACAATTGTGGAGGAGGGAAAGTTTATTTGAGGGCTCAGGGTTTCAGAGCTCCTAGTCCATGGGAGACCAGCTTCCTTCCTCAGGGGCAAAGGAGAATACCATGACAGAAGAGTGTGGCAGGGGGAAACAGCTCACATGGTGAACAGAAGGACATAGATGTCTCCACTTACCAGATACAAATATGTACACCGTAGCCACACCCCAATTCCCACCTCCTCCAGAAACACCCTAAAGCTATAGTTACCATTCAGTTAATCCCTACAAAGGGATTAATTCACCGATTGGGTTAAGACTCTCACAATCCAATCATTTCTCTTCTGAACCTTCTTGCATTGTCTCGCTTGTGAGCTTTTGGGGGACACCTCACATTCAAACCATAACAACAACACATGGCTGGCAGGTCTGAAAACCAAATCTATGTGTTTTATCCTATTCTATCCAACTACATTGCCTGTCTCATTGTAGAGTAAGAGAACACACTTCTGAAAGAACCTGAAATCTTCCATGCAGAAGACGAGCTGGTGATATTGACTTTGCCCCAAAACATCCTTATATGTTTCCAATGAAGCATAATTGTGAAGAATACTGCATAACAACCTCAATGCCTGCAGCCCTCCTCTATACCTGAATGTTCTCTTTGATCCTGTTCTCATTGAAACTCTTGGCCGGAACTACAACCCCACATTGCAGCTGGTAGCGGAGGGCAGTCAGGGCTGGGGATCGCTTGTGCTTTTTTGCCAAGGCACCAAGAACTGGGTCGTCCAAGAGAACTGGGGAGCTCTGGTCAACCCTGGAAGGAAAGACAGAGGTGCTTAAGTGCTGAGGCCCAGTTAGTTAGGAGGTTTCATTTGTTTCTCTTTTTTGGAGGTTGCAGTTTACTGTGGATTGACTCCAAAGGTATTCTACCATTGATCCATATGCCTAATCCTGTTTCACCTCCCAAATCATTGGGTTTACAGGAAAGCACCACTGGACCCACTCACAAAACAGGTCTGTTGGGACCACTCCAAATAGGGATCCTCAAATTCAGTCCCTGGAGCAGCAGCATTAGTGTCTTATGGGATTTTCTCAGAAATGAAAAATTTTCCCTCTACCAGAATCAATTGAGAGTTATATTGTAAAAACTGAGTCTTGTAGGACTAAGTGTAGTTCATAAACAGTAGCATTTTAGGTAAATTCCCTCAAGCTCTCATTACCATCGTTTTTCTCGTTGAGTTCCCAGAGCACGAAAAGCCACCAGAACAATGTCTTTTGATTTGCAGAAGTCCAGCAGTTTCTTCTGATTGTGATAAACATGACATTCTACCTGCAGTGGACAAGATAGAAGGTTTCTGAGTCTAGTAAATGCTAACGTTAATATGAAAAGAAAATGTTTTTTAAAAAGCTAACTTAAAAAAAATGGAAACCTGGACTTCTAATTGTGCCAGAAATCAAAAATTTGGTCAAAGACTCATGAGGACATGTTTGAAAGACATTTGATAGATATTCTGCATGTGACATTGGATAAATTTGTTCATCAAAACCAATAAAACCAGATTCCAGAACTCAGGGAGCTTAGAATAATTCCTCCTAACCATGGTCTCTAAGACCAAGATCCAGTTAGAACCAGTCAGTGTAGGACAAAGTGACACTGACTGGAAAATCCCCTTCTACAGGGCAAGAACATGCACAATGGAGATTTGGAATTCTGAGGCAACCCCACTGTCAGTCAACAGTCAAGAGATGAAACTAGGTGGGACTCTGAAATCTTCCATGTGACTCCCAATAAAACTGGCAAGGAGGATGGTAATTACATCCCTCTCCTCTCTGTGAAGACTCGCTCTCATCTTTGAGAGTTTCATCTTTTACCTTTTCTTACTCTAATAAATTCATTCTTGCAACACTGAGCCATATGTTTAAATTTTTTCTACTGTAATGCAAACCCAATAATGAGGACTCCACTGCCAAGGTGTTGATTTGTCATAAGGAATTCAAATCCAACTCCTAACTGACAGAAAATGGAAATCTAAAAACAAGTTAACTCATATGATAAGTTTTAAAAAATTCCTAGTTCAATATTGTGTGAAAATGTTCCGGGTGAACATTCTATGTGAAAAGAACTTAAGAAACATGATAGGAAAAAAAAAACATGTAAACCAAAGTTGCATTCTGGAAAAGGGAAGAACTATAAAAGATATTTCAGAAAACCATGGGAAATTTGAATGTAGATTGCATTTAGATGATGTGAGAGACTTACTATTAACTTTAGATATAATAATGAAAATGTGCTATGTGAGAGATCATCTTCATTCCTAGGAGATATTCTCTGAAGTTTCTAAAAGTGAATAGTCTAGTATATAATTGACCTTGAAGAGATTTAGATATTACACATAAGTACGCTGATAAACCCACAGAAATAAACATTTTACAGTGAACTCATATGTCAAAAATATTAGATAAAAATTAAAAAATATGGATGTCCTGTGCCATGTTCTCACATTTTCTGTTTAAAAAATTTCATGATTAAAAAATTGGGGTAAAATTAATACTAAAATTATTTTCTATTTTTTAACATTGATATTAGAAATTTATACTGATCAATCAACTTACATGAAATTTATGAATTTTATATGGTCTGTTTTCCAACCAAAGACCAATAATCCATGACTGAAAGTTGTGAAATAATAAGTGAGAGGACAGAAACATGTACAGAATACATGTGATGGCACAGTTGATTTGATATCAGAAAACATGGAAGAAAGCAGGTAAGAATGGCTCAGGCATGATGTCAACTGTATATTCTAAATGCTAACATTAATATGAAAATAGATTTCATCCACTTCAGTACCATCATTAACAAGTTCATTCCTCCCAGGCCTTTAACTTTCACAAGCTCTGATTTACTTTTGCTATATATATATGCCTCTGGATTCATGAACCTAAATAAGAAATAACAAGGACTTAGGCACCCAACAACCACACAGAGCCTGTTCACTGATCTCCTAGGTTCACTCTTTTCTTGCTCACTGCCTATTCCTATGTACTAACCTTCTTTCCTACACACAGTTCCCCCCACAGCACATTCACCCATCCAGGATCTGGTCATCCTTCATTGCTCAAGGACAAGCTCACCTTGCCCCTGAAGTCAGATAAACAACCACCCTCCTTGATCACCTGATTCTTCCATAACCTGGGCACTAAGCTCTTCCCCTCATTTTCACTAAGGATTCACCCAGCACAGGTACAATTGAGAATCCTCCACACCCTCCAAGATAGTGGCACTAAATCTAGACTCTTCTGTTCAACAAATATGAATGAACAGAAGGACAGGACCAGTGGACACCTGACAGTGATACAGAAACAAGGAAGTGTTATAAGAGATGGCAGTGAGGCTCAGGGCTCTCACCTGGTTGCAGAAAGGCTTATACTTGAGGCCTGGTTTATTCAGGATCATCTCCAGCTGCCTGCGGTTAAAGTTGGACACCCCGATGGACCTGGCCAATCCTGCATCCTTGCACTTCTCCATGGCCTTGGGAGGAAGGGGTTGGGAAGAGGCATTTGTACAATGGACTATGTCAGTATAAAGGCAAGATAGAACTGTTAAGAGGAGCACTGTCAAGAAATGACAACAAAGCTGATGAATTGATTATGAAGAGGAGAAAAATGGTAAAGATTATATGGGAAGGTGTTGAGAGCCAGTAAAAGAATTCCTCTGTGTCCTCTTCAGGCATCAGACATGACTGCACATGGAGGCAGGAGGGTTGTGTCCTCATTGTCATCAGTCCTCCTCCTCTATTTCTCTCCGTTACATACCAGGAATGTGTTCCTCCCCACCACCCTAGCAAAAATTCTCTTTTAAACATGATGATTTCTAGATCCATAATTACAGAAGCTGGCATGAGCTGTCACCTTCTTGGCTTCCTGTGGGGTCACTCCTTCAGGCACTCACCTCCCATGTGGCACAGAGATCCACTGAGTCATATAGTATTTTTCCATTTTCATCTTTTGGGTAAAGCTCTTCCCCTGGCTGAAACAGAAGTGATCATAACAGTAACTTTGCTGAATTCATATGTCCACATACAGTAATGCTGCTAGGTATATCCAAGGGGAGGGACACTAATCCTTCTTGAAATAAGTAAAGCATCACTCTATATTCATCTGTTTATAAAGTGTTTACATGTGAATGTGTAAGGAATACCTTTCAGTGCTTAGCTTCCTATATTCTTCTCTTACATCAAATTATCTATATGTTCAATTTTACATACATCTATGTATATCTATATTACATATAGGTAATTACATATATATACTTATATTTATAATTCTATATGATTTTCTTAATCATCTAATGAGGTCTCATAGTTGGCTCATGTTACATTTCCTGACCCTATATTTTGTCCTGGGGAAAAGTCTTTCACTGGGAAATTCAGAGGATGCATGGGCTTGTTCTTCAGCAATAATGGATTTCAGTGATGACACAAGATAAACAGTTTCTTTATCTACCTTAACACATGTGGGTGTAAGTAAGTATACCAAAGATCGTCAATCAAGTTTCAATTCAAGATTTGATGTTGGAAGATGGAGAGACCCTCTCTAATATTAATGACCATGGTATTTGAACTGCCCCAAAGTCGTATGAACCACCAGTGCAAAAGGCTGAGACCAAAACTAAGCAAACTTCCATATCTAGACATAATGAATGAATTAACTGAGATGTCTCTGAAGATTACATCTAATCATGAATTTAGACATAATTCGGACTTTCTATAATTCATATAAATTATTTACATAATTTTATAATTGAAGCTAAATTCAACCATCCATGGTAATGATGGTCATGCTGACTGCTGAAATTAAATAGGTTTGATGATGTAAATTTCCTACCTTCATCGCAGTCGGGATATGAATAAGATAGAGATCAACATAGTCAAAATGAAGTTTCTTCAGTGATCTTTTCAAAAAAGATTGGACCAGCTCTGGCCGATGAAAAGTGGACCATAGCTTCAGAGATTAAAGAAAGGAAACATAGTTTGGATATTTGTTTAACTCCATATTAAGATATTTATTTGTCATTTGCTTGGAAACTTGAGATCACAAGAATGATATCTCTTTAAGTCTTTGGTTCTACCAATCTGACCAGTTCATGTGAACTGGATTATATTTTCAGTTATTATTTGTAAAACATTTGAACTATGGAAGGAATTAATCAAGAGATATATATTTTTAGCAAACAATAACATATTTAATATCTGAATAGTGATTCATAGAGATTGCAAAGCTATTGTTAGTGTATCTCATCCATTCATTTCATTAGATAAGAATAAATATTTTTTGTTTACAGGAGTGAAAGAAACACATTTTGAATATTTAATATGTGTGAGACACAAATCAAGATACTTTAGCTGGATCTTCTTTTGTACCCATGGAACTGTCCTACATTGTTCTTTGATAATGACAAATGTAAAAGTAGATATTCAGAATGATAAGAAATTTTACAAAATCACCCAGGAGATAATGAATCCAGAATCTGGTCATAACTCTATCTCATTCTACAAACAATACAAAGCCATAGAGCTGAAGGGAGAATCAGAAAAGTAAAGAACTTTAACGTTATACATTTGTAGACAGCAAACAGGAATTTATAATACATCTCTGTTTTTGATACAGGATCTTATATGTGAATAAACATTGTAAAAATAATCACATTCCAACAACTGATCACCTAACATAATTTCACTTCTTTACATCATATTGCAGTAATTTTTACACTGTATACACAATACCTTGGAAGTATATAATATGTCTTCTCTCTTCACAGTGCCATCTGCAATCTTGCTTCTAATGGCCAGTCCTACCTCCTCTTCTACTTGGTATGCATAAGCACAATCAATATGGCAGAACCCAGCTTCTATTGCTATTTTGGTGGCCTCTGTGGTCTTACTCTTAGAAACCTAGAGGAATAACCAGAAGGTTTTTTTTTTTTTTTTGGAGAATCATACTATAAGAAATAACTCACCATGAGAAAAGTGAACAGTTCATTAGATTGGAAGAAATTTTAAATTCCAATGTTGTCTTCAGACTACTTAATAATGTGATAAGGGGATGGTACCCTGAACTTTGAGGGCCCACTTTTCTCCTATATAAAAAAAGTAGCCAAAGAGCAATTCTGAATGTAATGAGCAGAAGCAGTGTTCTCACAAAAGCCAACTTTGCCCATGCTTTGGGTTAGTTCAGTATTGACTCCAAACCAATTTTGTCTGTTTTTCCTAGTTAATTACAGGAGTCTGGCATCCAGGAAGCCTCTTCAGACACAGAAATCCTAATCCAGTGGCATCACAGGACCCCAGGAGCAACTCAAGTTCATTGAGTTTCTGGAAGGACTCAGAAGACACAGCATACAGGAATAACCATGTTATAATTTATGTGATGAAGTCACTAAGTACAGTTAATGCCAGTGAATAGTTCATGGAATGACTATAGAAGAAATACTGTGCAAGATTCTATAAATCTTCTCCCAAAGATGAAACACAGAATATACTAAATTCCCCCATGGTGAATTTTGAAACCACATGGGAAATATTTGTGCAAGAAAAGCTATTGAGATAATTTTCTAAGGTTTTTCAGTGGGACTGATTAAATTGACACCCTATGCTAGGACACAACACAATTCCAGTCTCCTAGAGAAAGGTAGATATATCATTCTAAAAAGTGGGGGGATAGTAAAATGCCAATTCCCTGAATGTCCATTTCTGTTCCCCAAATCCTGGCCAATTATGAAATAATGAGAGCAAGCCTGGCCCTGTACATCCAGATATGTATTATCTTTTTTTTTTTTTTTTTTAGTACCAGGGATTGAACTCAGGGACATTTGACCACTGACCACACATCCCCAGCCCTATTTTGTATTTTATTTAGAGACAGGGTCTTACTGCACTGCTTAGTGCCTTGCTGAGTTGCTAAGCCTGGCTTTCAACTCACAATCTTCCTGTCTCAGCCTTCTGCGACACTGGGATTACAGGCATGTGCCACTGTGCTCAGCCCAATAAATATTGTCTTAAAGGACCCTGACTTTCTCTTATGTACATCGGAAATGAGGGCAAGATAATGTTACCTGTGGAAAGATTCTTTTTCCATGTATTCCAGGAGAGTGGTTCCTTGGCTTGTTGTTCACATAAGCAAATAAAGTAAGATACTGCTGAGGATGTTACTGCTTCTGCAGCCTAACATACAATACTGCTCTGTTGAACCTCTTGAAAGGGAGAAAATCCTTGCAACCCACATTGGAGGTAAGTCATTAATTTCAAGAGTATATAAAGATCAAAAATTTCCACACTAAAAAACCAAATAGCCCAATCAATAAAGGAGTAAAGGAACACAATAGACACTTCTCAAAGGAATAGACGCAAAAAGTCAACAAGTACATGAAAAATGTTCAACATTTTTGCAATGCAAATTATTACAACATTGAGATCTCACTTCACTATTGTCAGAATGGCACCTATCAAGAATACAAGTCACACTAAATGTTGGTGATGATGTGGAGGAATGGCACACACACACATTGCCGGTGAGACTGCAAATTGGTGCAACCCCTCTGGAAAGCAGTATGGAGATTCCTCCTTCAAAAAACTAGAATGGAACAACCATTTGAGTCAGTTATACCACTTCCAGGTATATATTTAGAGGATGAAAAATCAGCATACTACAGTGATGCAGTCACATCAATTTTTTAAAAAAATTTAACTTGTTTTAATTAGTTATACATGTCAGTAAATGCATTTATGCACTTTGATATACATAGATGGGATATAATTTCTCATTTTTCTGAGTGTAAATGTTGCAGAATCATATTGGTCATGTAGTCACATATATACATACAGTAATAATGTCTGTTTCATCCTACTATCTTTCCTATCCCCACATTCCCTCCTCTTCCCTCCCATCACTTCCCTCCAGCTAATCTAAAGTAATGCTATTCTTCCCTAGTGCCCCCCACCTTATTGTGCAGAAGATGGAAAGATCTCTCAAGCTCCTGGATAGGCAGAATTAATATTGTAAAAATGGCCATATTACAAAAAGCATTATACAGATTTAATGCAATTTCTATTAAAATCCCAATGACATTCTTCATAGAAATAAAAAAAAAGCAATCATGAAATTTATTTACAAGATAAGGTACCCAGAATAGCTAAAGCAATTCTTAGCAAGAAAAGTGAGGCAGGAGGCATCAAAATACCAGACCTTAAACTATACTACAGAGGTATAGTAACAAAAATGGCATGGTTCGGGGCACCAAAATAGACTTGTAGACCAATGGTACAGAATAGAGGACACAGAGACAAACCGACATAAATACAGTTATCTCATACTAGACAAGAGTACCAAAAACATTAAATGGAGAAAAGATAGCCTCTTCAACAAATGGCGCTGGCAAAACTGGAAATCCGTATGTAGCAAAATGAAATTAAACCTCTATTTCTCACCCTGCACAAAAATCAACTCAAAATGGATCAAAGACTTGACTTACGCACTAGAACAGAGACCTTGAGCCTAATAGAAGAAAAAAATGGGCCCAAATCTTCACCACATTGCCTAGGATCTGACTTCCTTAACAAGATTCCAAAAGCACAAGAAGTAAAATCAAGAATTAATAAATGGGATGTATTCAAATTAAAAAGCTTCTTCTCAGCAAAGGAAACATTTAATAACGTGAGGAGAGAGCCTACAGATTGGGAGAAAATCTTTATCACATGCACCTCCAATAAAGCATTGATCTCTAGAATATATACAGAACTCAAAAAAACATAACACCAAATAAACAAATAACCCAATCAATAAGTGGGCTAAGGAACTGAACAGACACTTCACCGAAGAAGAAATACAATTGATCAAGAAATATATAAAAAAGTGTTCAACATCTCTAGCAATTAGAGAAATACAAATCAAAACTACTCTAAGATTTCATCTCACTCCTATCAGAATGGCAATCAGTAAGAATACAGGCAACAATAAATGTTGGCAAGGATGTGGTGAAAAAGGCACACCCATACATTGCTGGTGGGACTGCAAATTGGTGCAACCACTATGGAAAGCAATATGGAGATTCCTCAGAAAATCAGGAATGGAACCACCATTTGATCCAGCTATCCCACTCCTTGGTTTATATCCAAAGGACTTAAAATCAGCATGCTATAGTAATGCAACCACAACAATGTTTATAGCAGCTCAATTCACAATAACTAGACTATAGAACCAACCTAGGTGTCCCTCAATAGATGAATGGATAAAAAAATGTGGTATTTATATTGAATGAAATATTACTCTGCTTTAAAAAGAGCAAAATTATGGCATTTGCCAGTAAATGGTTGGAGTTGGAGAATATCATACTAAGTGAAATAAACCAATCCCACAAAACCAAAGGCCTAATGTTTTCTCTAATGTGCATATGCTAATTCACATCAATGTTTATAGCAGCTTAATTCACAATAGCTGAACTATGCAACCAACCTAGGTGCCCTTCATCAGATGAATGGATAAAGAAAATGTGGTCTATATACACAGTAGAATATTACTCAGCCATAAAAAATGAATTGATGACATTTTTCAATAACTGGATGCATCTGAAAACTATCATGCTAAGTGAAATATGCCAGTCCTAAAAAACCAAATATCAAATGTTCTGTAGATATATGTATGCAAACACAAAAACTGGGAAAGGGAAGGGAAAGAATCAAAGTTCAGAGGACTAGAGAAGAGGAATGAAGAGAAACAAGGAGTGATATGGATGGGAAAGGCAGTGGAATGGATCTGACTTAACTTTCCCACCTTCATTTATAAATAGACCACTGTGAATCCCCAAATCATGTGCATCCAAACGATTGGTTTTCAAATTAATATAAGGTCTACTCCACGTTTGCATCCATATGTCAAAAAACACTATATTGTCATGTAAAAATAAAATCAAGATATTAAAAAAAATTAGGATGAAACCCCTCTGTTTGTGGTAACTGGGATAGAACTGAGGGCATGTGGAAAGGATGGGTGTCACTCACCCAGCCAGCGATCACAGGACAAAACATCATGAGGAGGAGGGAGCCCTGCTTGGCAAAGCAGTGTGAGGGAGGCAGGTTCTGTGGTTCAGCCGGTCACTGCTGGACCCTCCCTAGAGGAATTTCTCAATAAGGACTGATGCCTGAAAGCACTCTCCACATATTTTCTCAGGTCTTTGGCAACCATTTCCACTTCTCTGGCACAACTGGACTATCAACATGACTGCAGAATACATAAATAAATCCAATCTTCATACCCTTTAGGGATAGCCAGTTTCCTTGTGTGTTATTAAAAAAAAAGTGAAAAATCAGATACCAGCCAAGGGAAAGTTGATGACAGGCTCAGGAACAAAGAGAAATATGCTGTGTTAACTCTGGCATACAATGGAATCTCTGTATGACAGAACTAAACACTGGCTGGAAAAAATGTATACTCTTATGATACAGAGTTACAAATAAGGAATTCTACTCATTTTATAAGGGATTAGTCACATAAACATCAGCCCATAAAGCTGACTCACTCTCTATTGTGGAAGATGTAATAAGAGTGACGTCGACAATTATTGTATGGTCTACAAAATTTGCATGGCTTAAAAGTTCATTTTTTAAAGATTATAAAGGCAGAACAAACACAATGTTTTATGTTTTAAAATTTTTGGAAGCTTTATTTTTCCAGGAGATCAAGATAATGCCATCCTAGGTTTTACTGGCCTCTGCTGATTCCAGCCCTGAGTTTCTTTGGGATAAGGACACTTGGAGTAGGACTGAAGCCCTACTTCATGACACTTTTCCCTACAGATTTTCACAAATCCTGTCACAAGACTTCATACTTGCTCACTGGATATTTCCTTAAGTCTTACAGAAGAAAAATGTTTAAATTCAAACTTTAGGAAAACTAGTTTCTTGCCACCTAATTAAGTGGTCAGAGTATGATAATGGAATATAAAATTATTTCCAGGATAGTGAACATAGCTCACTCCACTTCACAGGGTCATCTGTCAATATAATACACAAAACCAATGATGATTAATTGACAAATACCCTTCTTAGGTCACCATTTGACTTATCAGGTTGTTCTAATATACATTCGGGTAAATTTCCCACAGTTGAGAACACATAAAAAATTCTCCTCTGCCAAGGTGCAGCATTTTCTGAGAGATGCTGAAGCCTTCCTCAGAGTGGAGAGGAAGTTATCCCCTGTCGCGACCCCTTGCCCGCAAGGAAGACGCAACTCAGGAATCTTCTTTCAGCAGTTTATTCAGGCCCTGGATATTTCTTCTTCTTCCCCTCGGATGCCCCTCCCAGCCTTAATAAAGCATCTCAAGCCCCAATGCGAAGCTGCCACGTGGAGCTTTCTCATAGGGTGGTGAAAAACCACGCGCCAACTCTCCCAAATAAGGAGTTGTTTGTCACAGACCACAGCGGAGCCAGCGCCATCTTGTAATGGCGACCATAGTCTGCAGAAACGGCAGAAGCGGCTCACCACAATCCCCATCATTTATTCTATGTTTTTCATCTCAAGTACATTTTGCTACACAGATGTCTGTGGCTCTTGCCCTTCTTGGGAGGAAAATATATTTCCTGAGGTATAGAAATAAAGAGAGAAACCATTCACAGTGCAAACAGAGTGCTGACATTCATCTTTTCTACTAAGTTGGTCAATAGACTGAAATGGGGGGTGGAGGCTTAGAGTGGTCAGAACACTCGGTAGGTAACCACACCATCATGCAATGATGTAGAGCAATGTCTGAAAACTATCTTTCCTGTTTATGGAATAGCTCTCACCTGGAGAAACAGGACCACCTGAGCCCCCCAGAGTCACATAGGAAGCAAGTACCTTGACAACCCAGATTGGATTCCATTCATCCTATGTCTACTTTCTTTAGAACCCTCAACCCAACCTCCTACTGTTACCTCTTGAGGTTTATAGGTGCCAAAGCCCAGTCCAGGAATGAAGTGACCATCATTGAGCTCCACATACTGATGTTTGGAATTCATTGCCTGTGACTCCTCAGCCTGGGTAAATTCTGCTTCTTCTTCTTCTGCCTTCACAGGGAAATAAATAACTGGAATTCACAGCTCCAACTGCTTGTCTAATGGTTATCCAATTCTACTTACTGTCTAATGTTTAGACAATATTTTATAGGAAGAGTGAGGTTAAAGCAATATTCCCTATGTGAGAAGAGAATTCAAACCAGTTCACTTATTCCATATGGAAAAAAATTATGTAAATTACTACACAGTGGAAAAAACGTTAGTTTTTACTAAATTTTCTCCATATTTTATCAAGAGTTAATATATAATATTAGATGATCATTGACCATTTGTTAAGCTATAAACCTCAGATTCCTGTATTTTGCATTTTTTTCTTGATTTTGTTTTTTTGTTTGTTTATTTTTTTCCTTATTTTTCTAATTTTGGAGGGAAGGTACCTGGGATTAAACTCAGGGGCACTTGACCACTGAGCCACATCCCCAGCCCTATTTTGTATTTTATCTAGAAACAGAGTCTCACTGAGTTGCTTAGCAACTTGCTTTTGCTGAGGCTGATTTTGAACTCACGATCCTTCTCCCTCAGCCTCTCAGGACACTGGGATTACAGAAGTGCACGCCATTGCACCCAGATTCTTGAACCTCTTCTTGACCATACATTATTAGAAGTATCATACACTATGCCCACAAACACAAGGAATTTTTTAATCAGGATTATGGACCATGTTTTGAAATCTCAGAAATATAATCATATACAAAAATCAACAGAAGTTAGTTAGCCTTTTTAATTTTCCCATTGGTAAAATGCTTTCCACAGTTTGACTACCAAGTCCCACGAGATGCAGTCCTGACAAGTGTGCAGTACAAACTGCACCATTTGACATTCTGCTCAGGGGAAGCCAAAAAAATTACAGCCACGGGAAGTCAGTTTGCAATAGGCAACAAGAGGCTAAAGGTTATTACAGTTTTCACCTGTTAGATAATTCCTGGAGAAAAATATCAATAAATAGGATGCAAAATGAAGGCATTTTATAATATTTATGACCTTGCTTAACATGGTCCATAAAAGGTAAAAAATGGAAAAATCTTAAATTAGTATGGATTTTGGAATAATTGTGAAAACATGGATGCACTGATGAAATGGAATATTTGAAGCAAAAAAAGAGTCAGACATGAACATTTATCAATAAAAAATTCCTCTATTACATAGAGGAATAAGAGCTCAGTTTAAAGGGGGTTTATTATAATAATGATATAATATGTCCATAAAGTATGCATAATAGAAAAAGAAAAAATACAAACTGTAAATAGTCACTTCTTCTGCATAGTGAGACTAGGATTGATCTCCTTCCTGGTTTTTAATCACTTACACCTTTTTGTCATTCTTAAAATTGGAAAAAGCATTTACTAATATGAATTAAAAAGCCCCACCACTTATACAAATCCTCTTTACTTGTGGTTTTGATTTTTTTAAGATGAGCCCTTTGTCAGTCACACATTATTGAATAAAATGAACTATCTCACACCCCCCCCCCAAACACACACAGAGTAAATTAAAGTGACTGTTGAGCACTTTTCAAAATCTGACTGTCAAAAATAGCATCAAATTTAAACTTGAAAAAAGTTATCCTTTTAACTTTGTCATTGCCAATATATTTTCTGGATGTTCTTTTGTTGCATTTTAATGAAAATGTTCACTGCTGATGGATGTGCAGTTCTGAGAAGTGTGCACTCAAAATGGTGATATGCCCGTTGCCAGTGAAGCAAAAGTGACTACCCTGTAGGAACGGATTTCACAAGACACAACACAGGCCAAAGTCTTTCTGAAAAGTAGGACTTTGAGTGATTGGTAAATCTTCTGCAGTCCCTTCAATTAATGTTTCACTTTTTTTTTTTTGTAATCTGAGAAATGTGTTTACTAACCAAAGGAAAAGTTCTGACCCTGAAAATTAAATAGAAAGGAATTTCGTGGCAGACAACCAGCCCTATAAACTCTCTCTCAGGCTGCTTTTGTCAGTAACACAAACCTCACTGAGAACCCCCAGGCTTCACTACTGTTTTTCCATTTACTACTAAAATTCTGCCTAGTCCCTCCCATGGTCTAGAAACATGGATTCTTGTGTATCCTGATTTTACCTGAGTTGCATTTTCTGGACCTTGTCTCCATCTCTGTTCTAAGTTCGAAATGTTTGTTTGTACTGATCCTGGACTCCAGCTAGTGAACTTGGACATGGTAGCAAGTGCCCAGGACTATATCTGGATGTCCTGGACACAGGGCATAAAACCTTTGCTCTGCATCAACCACACCTCACTAGTTAAAACCTCACCAAACTTCCATGGTTAAAGCTCTTCATTATAGGGTCTTGGATTCTATTGATAATTTGAAGGCCAATTTAAATCACAGAAATGATGGGATTACACAAAGAATTAAAAATCAAGGCCATCTGTAAGCATTCATATCAAATAAGGAGTTTGTATTAATCCATAAAAATCTTACAGATTCTCAAATGATAAACTCTAAAGAGAACTTATGTGTCTAAATATATCCAAACAATCCTCCACTGGGAGAAATTTAACTCTATCCTGGAACAAACCATTGTGTTATTAAATCTGAGATATTCCTATATTATCTACATAAATTTGCATCCATAAAATCAGGTAAGATGTAGGCCCAGCTCTTTTTTTTTGTTGTTATAGGGTGTTATATTGAGACTATTGCAATTTTGATACTGTTTGGCAAATATTAGAAAAATCGGCCATCCCAAACATTAGAGTTAAGACCTTGGGTAGCTCCTCTGGTCACTAGTTCGTTTCTACTGAGACACAGTCTTCCCAAATTTTCTGATCCCTTGCAGTTGGCCTTGCTGTGCACATCCATGAAGATCAGCCCAGCTACTTAACCAGGGCTCCAATTGGAAAACAGATGGCTCCTACCTTGAGATTTCAATGTCTAATTTGGAATATAGAAAAACAAAATATCAAAAAAGGTTTATCACAATTTGCCTGAAATAGTAAGAACAGGGTCATGTTCCAACTATTTTGAAGAAATACCGGATAATGAGGAGACTCTTATTCTACAATCCATGGAAATTTTCTGTCAGAAACTTAAATATCCAATAATAAAAATATTAAATTTTGAAGGCTTATTACCCTAAGTGAGAACCATGCTGTGACATTATATAGATCAATAACAAAAAAGGTAAAAGGTGCCTTTAATGTTTCATAAAGTACTGAGTATTGTGATATTGAAAAATGCTAGTTTCAGATGCATTCAGTTGTATGAAACAGAAAATTCAACTCAACTTGGTCTAAAATTCTAGGAAATTGATGCTGGTTACTAATTTGGGGCAAGTAACACTTAATTTCCTAACCATTCTCTTAGGAATATTGATATCATACACATGTATTTTAAGAAAATGCAGTACTAGGTTATTCATTCGAGATATTTCTGCTTTGTGATAGAGACCTTGAATATCTATATCATAAAGCCTAGAAAATCCAAACATCCTCAGATACCAAGTGAAAACCACATCCCCAAAAATATGATCCTTTAAAGCTGCTGTCATTGTGACTATAGGAACTTTATCCACTTTTTGGTATACTCCTTCATTCTCTTAATTTAAACCGATCCAAGATATGTTGATGTCACTCTCATTCATCATAGACACAACTGGAGTTTCCAGTTTTTTAGCATTTTCAACTCCTAAGCATTTCTACATATAACTAGACTGAACTTGAGTTAACTCAGATGAAATCTTAACTTTAACCTTTCCATGCTAAGAAGGCCTCTTGCTCTGTGGCTTCTACCACATCTCCATGCATCAAATTCCTAATCCAACAGAGCTGCAGTGTCTCTTCTTTCCTCTGTGAAGTTCCTATACAAGTTGATGTATTCACATTGCATCAAATAACAGAGTAAATGAAAGCTGGTCAGACTCCTCTCATTCTGCATTTCTCCTGTAATAACTGACTTGCTACTGGGTGAGTCCTGTGATTTTCCCCTATTGGTCTATCCTTGTACCAACTATCATGGAGAAACATGTCTATAATGAGAACTAATCATTATACTTGTGGTTACATGAACCCATTCTTTTAGAACTGAATATCCAACCAAAAGACTCATTTGTGTTGTACTACTTAAATTCATTTGGTCTGTAATAAGATTTAATATATTGCAAGGTTTTAAGAACGTGCCAAGCAGGTCAACATCTAGGCAATCTAAAAAAAAAAAAAATCATTGCTTTTTCATTATGACTTCAGTAACCAAGATGGTTGTCTCCCCAATATCCTTTTCCCTGCAAATTATTTCTTTGAGTCACTTATGCTTATTCATTTGGCATTAGCATGTGGTCACTATGGAAAAGGGCCTGTGACCCAGTCCTAGTTAATGCCACATGAAAAATCCTTCTGGGAGCTTCTCAGTAAGTATCTCTCTGTTCTAAGTGGTTTATTATACAAAGAAGTGGCTCCTCCTCCTACACTGGATATTGAACTGCTGTGCTGGGTGGTCTGCTGTCAATCTGAGCACCCAGAAGTGGGAAAAGCCAGGAGCAGATGGTAGTGTTTCTAGACTCACAGGGACAAGATCTGCTGTGGGAAGCCATTCTCACACGTGATTGGGTACCTCCCTGATTGGGTGTGAGGCGTTCTGGCCAGCTGTGTCAGAACTTATCCCCACTCTCTTTTGGTGCGAGAGCCCATCCGTGTGGGGGTGTGACTGACCATTGACTCTGAGATCAATCACTGACCCTGACCTTGGAATGCTGTCCCCCTTGACCTTCATTGGATGGAATTTTTCCCTGAATTTCTTGTTCCCCAATAAAAGGCCACTCTCAGGTGTGCTCTCCCCTCTCTCCTGCTAGTCTCTTGTGTAAACCTCGCTACCCCACCAGGTGGCTCGAGGCAGGAGCCAGGAAGGGCCGTCTCTGAACTGGGCAAGAAAAAGGTAAATTGAGTTATGTGTCTTTATTTTTTGATCTCACTAGTTAACTTCTATGCGTAGGACCTCTAGTATGAAGCTAGCGTGCTGGTCACGCAGCAGAATCCACAACTTATTTTCTCTTGGCTTTTTGTCTATGAGATTTAAGCCAAAACAAAATATTTTATGAGTTTTCTTTGCCTTGATGTAGCCAAACAAAAGCAACCACCAGAGATAACAAGTTTCTCCTTGAAATTCCTGCCTTCACTGCATTTTGCCCATGTGCAAGGGCATTCAGAATCACTGACAACTTCTCAAAGCCTCTGGGGAGCATAAGCCCCATGGATTTCTCAGGGCTGACCATGAAATGTGCAGAAGCTATTGCAAAGTCACAAAGGGCCTCATTTTCTCTCCCACTCTTCTAGAACCATGTTGGTTTCCCATGCACTGAAAAAGACCACTGGTGGTTATTTTAATTACTTTCATTTTAAAATTAATAAAAATGAAAGTTCTTCTGTTTTCTGATACACTAAGATTTTTGTGGCTGACATTTTCTAAGATACATAAAAACGGTACCTAACAAAAGTGGTATCATTTTTATGTGTCTTAGAATTTATTTTCTGTATATTCATGTGCCATGAAATCTGGTATTTGCTGGACTATGAGTAACAATCTGCCTCTCTGATCTGCTGAGGCATGCCATCTCATTTCAGCAACTATCTAAGAAGTTAAGCTGCTTGTCTGGCCGGGAAGATGAAGCAAGGTGTTTTTGAGATGACAAGCACAGCCTTGCTACTAGGTGTCTTCCAAAGGTTGTGACCAGATAAGCTGCAGTGACTTTCAGTGCACTAACTTTCCTTTGGGGAAAGAAATTGACAGCTCTGCCGACACCACCCACAGACCACGACAATATGCTGCAAGACAGCTTTAGCAATGGTGAGCAAAAACAGCCTGAAATTGCCTACAATTGAATGTCCCCCCCTTTCTTCATTGCGTGCTTTCTTTGTTGCTTTAGAGCACTGACTGCTTATAGAATTTGTGTAGTGTTAATTCACCCGAGACTAATGCTTTCGTGATGTTTTGATGGGAGAATCTGGAGCTTTTCTAGTCCAACATTTTCTCACATCACTATTCTAAATTTCCAAGTGATTTATGGGATTTCTTTCTATGAATGCATCTTAATTTACATAAATATTTCCAAACATACTGCAAATAATGTTGTTTCAGCTTCTCTCCGTGTGTGGCTAATCATCCAACTATGGCATTGGATAAAATTTGCAAACTTTCCTTTTTGTCTGCAGCCTCTAATTATCAAAAGAACATTTGGTGGAAGGAATAACTGCAGAGTAGAGGAAGGGAAACAAGAGGAAGAAGAGAGGGGAGAAAAGGAAAGCATGGGGAAGTATCTGGTGATAGGAACCTACCATATTATGCTATTCAATGTACAAATACACCACAGTAACTCAATGAATCAAATCATCCTCATATACATAGGTACATAGAGATCACCTGAATTAGAATAACAATAATAGAAGGAATGTCAGGAGAGTAGAGCAAGCAGACAAGGGGGAGGGAGAACAGCAAGAAAGGGAAAAATAATGAGGAATAAGATTGATCAAATGTTATATGCAAGCATGAATTTGGCATCATGAATCCCACATTATGTATAATACACACACACACACATACAAATCTTCGTCATATGTCCCAAGCATATGTCCCAAGCAGAGGAGTGCTCAACTCTTCTACCTTTGCACATCTGAACCCTCATGCTCACTCCAGGCCAGATGCCCTCTCACCCCTTTGACAATCATCTGAAAGCAAAACCTCATCCCCCAGTTTCTAGGAGCTCTGGTCCTTGAGCTGCAGGAAGAGAGCCCTTGGCCTGCTGCTCCTCCTTGCCATATGTGCTTCGTCTTGCAGACTGTGAACCATGATGTTCATGCAAAGTATTTTCTTGTTATTCCATGGGTTAGAGAAGCATTGACTGATAAATACCAATTGCTACTTCTTCAGAGCCTTAGAAATCCTATCTTTTCCAATCCCAGGAATGGATTAGCATGACCAAGCTCCTGCTGACAGGCTTAAAGACACATTAGTTTTTGTTTATAATGAGTCAAAAAGAAACTAATCATAAATGAAATAGAGTTAATGCAGAATCTTGAGAAAAACAACTTCATTTTATTTTTTCAAAAATTGTTGAGAATTTAGTGTCTTCTTTACTGGTCTGGTGAACTTTGCTTTGCCAGAATGTGAGTTGCTAAGAAAGCATGGATTATCAGAAGTGATGTGTCCAATCAGGAGCATCTGAGCCACCTCCTGCATCCCAATCAAAGTGGGGGATACTAGTTGAAGTCATGACAAAGGTGTCCAGGTTAATATTCATCAGCAAATGGATAATTTGGGTGGTCGGACATACTAAAATGAAAAAGAAAAATATGTAACATAGCTTCAGTGACTGCATTTTTACAGGATAAATAAGTGATACCTACTGAGCTTCATTATATTTCCTCAGTGATTGTACAATCTGCCATTTCTACATTCATGAACATAGCCATATAGGAGATGGTGTTTTAGTTCTAACTAAATTATACAAATTCTACTCCCTTACCAAGAACAGAACACAATGAACTCACAGAGACAAGAATTCACTCATATTCATCTTCCTTAGCTCTATTAGTCAATCTACCAAAGCAAAGAAATTCTTTCTTATTTCTTATCTCAGTGAAAGCAGAAACAGATTGCACCACATTTATTTACTTACTTTGTGAAGGGGAAGAAGAATGTGTCCTTTTCCACAAAGTAAGTAAATAAATGTGGCGCAATCTGTTTCTGCTTTCACTGAGATGTTTCTGTTTCTGCTTTCACATGTTTTGTAAAAGGATAAGTTCAGATATTGACCAATACAAAAAGTATTTTTGATGTGCAGTACATTGCTAGCCATCTCACTTCCATTTAACTAATTCATTAATGATTATTTGCTCACTGCCCATCACAGACAACATGGTGCTTTTTGGATATGGAAAGAATGTTGTTTATAAGATATACATGCAAATCTCAGGAGCTCTGCATTTATTATTTAGATTTCTATAATTTAGAAATAATACAACAGAAAATCATTACTTCTTGAAACATAATAGGTAACAAGAATTGCCGATTGCTTGCTACTGCCTCTTGGCATTATATTCCTACTTCTTCCTTTATATCTATATTAACAAAAAATGTTAGTAATGATAACAGTATATCTGCCAATATTTAAGCCTGTGTAATCATGGATTGTCTAATCCCCTTTAAAACATCATCACATTTATTTCTATTATAAATTAAAATTCCAACAGGCAGAAGGGATATATATTCCTTGTTTATTCTTACTTATAATATATGATGTCCAATGCCAGATTCTATAATCACAAAACATCCAAAAAGAGTAAAGATTTTTTTCTCATGATTATTAATTCTCTTCAACAAGGTTGTTTTTTTCTGCACACTCTTCTCTTGCTTTTGAATCTCTCTTCTCAAAAACAACTCTATCCTCTGCAATAAGATGTCTACAGTTTTTAATTTGAAACCAAATGTCTTCCCAATAGCCCAAATGGAAGCCTTTTGACACCAACTGCAATGTCTGGGCTCTAATCAAAACTGCACTGAAAAGGGGAAAAGCTTGGAAAATAAATAAACAAAGGCCACATGTCTATCAAAGTTACTCACGATTGCATGGCAACATATCGAAAATTTCTGTTCAGGCCATCTAGGACTTTCATGTCTTCTTCAGTCAACTCAAAATCAAAAACCTATCACACAAGTAGAAAGTTTTTAGCATATTTAGACTGCATATTGCCAATCATGAAAATCCAATGAAATAATGTTGTTGCAGAAACATTTAAAATATCTCAAAAGTGTCCAATAGTTATTAAAGACATCAAACAAAACACTCAAATGGTCAATAAATATCAGGTGAAAATTGAAAAGAAATCACTTTTGACATGTATTACACAGAAACTGCACCACTACAGACAAAAAGAGATTTCAAAAAGAAGTTGTAGCAAAATAATGTTGTTCCAAGACTACAGTGTCATATAGTTAAGAGACCCAGAGAAATCTAGTGGCAAATCATGAAACATGTAAGATGATTTAATCATTTCAATGATACAGTTTGATTTCTATATCCCATCAATGAACAGTTAAAACTCAAGCAATGATTTTTGATCAGATTTTTTAAGTCAGTAATTGTACTAATTATATCCTCTTCAAAAAAAAAAAAAAAAAAAGACGGGGCGGGGGGAGCTAGCTTCAAGAATCACCATGTCACCATGTCTAAATTTGAGACATTTTATAGGTGAAAAGATTTTCAGGAATTGCTATCATACTGAAAAAGAATGGATACATAAATCTTGGTAATTTTCTTAAGAAATTGTAAGAGAGGAAAATATTGATTATTTAAAAATTGAGGAATTAGATAAATAGCATTCTCAGCATTCCTCTTTGAGTTTTTCTGTACATTTGGAAAGTTGCAAGTGAAAATGAAAATGGATATGTTATTTAAAGATTATCAAAATTGTCACTACTGTAGGAATAAATATAACAGAATTAATACAAATGCCTTCATAGATAAGTTTACTGCAGCATGTTTAAAGACTAGTTAAATATTGGAAACTCATATCACAATCATGGAGTAGAATCTTTAATAATTCAAAAAGTAGTTTCTCTCTGAATTTATTAAGCAATCCAATGCAGTATCAAACAAACAGAGACAATCTGCATAGAGATTGATACAGCGATTCTATGTTCTTTACAATAGAAAAGTAGTCCGAAATGTAATCCTGTTGCTGGGAAGTTTTAGTTAGTCATTTAAAAATTATGTGTCTATTTGGATTTTTATTTCATACAATGTTTAAAAAATGATATTGAATTATATGTGGAGTTAAGGACTGTAAGAGTTTTGTAAAGAAATGTAATAAAATACTAGATTTGCCAATATAAGTAAAAATATGACACTCATTAACCACAAAGTCCAGGCATGAAGACACCAATTAGAGAAGGAACTTTGTTCATGAAAATACACCCAAAGGAGAATGGAAGCACAAGTAGAATGTAGGAGAATATATTTCAACCAACACAATTGCACCTGAAAAAAAATATCCAGAATATACCAATGTGTTCAATTGTTTGCAAGAATGTTCTCCCCAATAATTCATATATTCCAGTCTTCAATCTCTTTCCTATGTGAATTTGAAGCTTCTTTCACTAAGAGATGGTGTCTATTTCTGCACCTCTTGAGTCATGCCTTGTCTTTTTCATTGGCCAACTTTCATTGGCCATTAGAACATGGTAGAAGCTACTCTGAGCTGAGGCATGAGAAGGCTCTGGGAGATTCCATTCATTGCCTAGGGAGAGTGCTGTGTGATGAGGTGAAGCCTGGGTTGTCCACTAATGGATGTAAAGTACCATGGAGAGGAGCTGAGACACCCCCAGAAAACAGAGCAAGCAGGACTACAGCAGAGGGACCACACTGTCCTGCAGATGCATATCAGAGTTGATTGCAAAAACATGAGTAGCCTGGGTAGCTGGAAGACATTCACTGAGTTCAGGCTGAGCCAAGGCAAAGAGAGAAAACTTAGAAATAATTATTCTTTGGGTTAATCTCAATATTGGGTAGGTTTTCTTGTAACTGCTTTAGTGATGATTCAAAAATTGTTCTCCTATTGAAAATGAAAGAAAAGAAAACCAATTAAACGGCAGTACATAAACTGACAGTAGACAAGTATAAAAGCTAAAAATGAATAAATATATGAATATTAATATACATTGAGGAATTGGGGAAATGTAAAATAAAATCATAATTCATAGAATAAAAATCACCCAATCCAAATTCTCATTTCAGAAAATAAGTAAAAAGAACATACAAAGTTGTCTTGCACAGAGTTATATAGTACATGGCCAGACATGCTGAAAACCAAACCTCTGTGATTTATCCAATCTTATTTCTAAATGGCTATACTGCATGTCCCATTGTGGAGTAAAAGAACACACTTCTGAAAACATGAAATCTTACATGCAGAGGACATGCTGTGGATATTGAGTGGTCTCAATAACATCCTTACAAGTTTCAAAGAAGCACACATGTGAAGGACACTGTATAACAACCCACATTCCCACAGCCCTCCTCTATACCTGAATGTTCTCTTTTATTTCATTTTCCTTCAAACTCTGGGCCAGAACCACAACCCCACGCTGCAGCTGGTAGCGGAGGGCAATCAGGGCTGGGGATCGCTTGTGCTTTTTTGCCAAGGCACCAAGAACGGGATCATCCAAGAGAACTGGGGAGTTCTGGTCAACCCTGGAAGGAAAGACAGAGATGCTGAAGCCCTGAGGCCAAGTTGGTTAGGAGGATTTCATATATTTCCTTTTTGGGGGGGATGTGGTTTACTGTGGGTTGAATCCAAAGGCTTTCTACCACAGAGCCTTAAGCCTAGTCCTTTTTACTTTTATTTTTGAGACAGGACCTCATTGAATTTCTGACACTAGCCTCAAGTTTTGAAGTCTTCGTGCCTCAGCATTCTGAGTCACTAGGATAACAGCAAGCACCACTGATCCACCCACAAAAGAGACTCAGGTCTCTTTGGACCACTCTAAACAGGGATCCTCAAATGCAGTCTCTGTGCCAGCAGTATCAGTGTCTTATGGGATCTTCCCAGAAATGTAAATTTTCCGCTCTTCCAGGGTCAGTTGAGAATGACCTTTTGAACTCTGAGTCTTGTAGGACTATAGATAGCTCATCATTAATGGCATTTGAAGTCAACTCCCTGAGGTTCTCATTACCATTCTTTGTATCTTTGAGTTCCAAGAGCACCATAGGCAACCAGAACAATGTCTTTGGATTTGCAGAAGTCCAGCAGTTTCCTCTGGTTGTGATAAACATGACATTCTACCTGCAATGGACAAGGTAGAAGGTATATGGTTCTAATGTTAATATGAAAACAAAAATGCAAATAAAAGAAGCTGAATTTAAAAAAAATTCAATTTGGACATTAACGTTGTGCCATAAATCAAGAATTTGGTCAAAGACTCACAGAACAAGTTTGGCAGACATTTGGTAAGTATTCTGCAGTTGACATTTGGGTAAATTTATTCATCAAAAGAAAAAGAAAACAGATTCTAGAACTCAGGGAGCTTAGAATAATTCCCCCCAACCATAATCTCTATTAACAAGTCCCAATTTGAACCAACCAATGTGGGACAAAGGGACCCTGACCTGAAAATCTCCCCTCTGCAAGGCAGTAACATGCATAGTGGAGACTCGAAAAATCTGAAGAAATCTCACTGTCAGCCAACACTCAAGAGGTCAACCTGGGCAGAAATCTAAAAACTTCCATGGTACACCCAACAAGACTGGAAAGCAAGATGGGCATGCCATCCCTCTCCTATCTGTGAAGATTCAGTCTCTTTTTGGGAGTTTCACCTTTTTGCTTTCTAATCACCCCATGCCTGCTGCTCTGAGCAACATGTCGGGTGATGTTCTAGTGTGATGCAAAAACCCAGTAACTGAGGACCACACTGGATGCCTTGGCTCCTCGGCAGGCCCTTGATCTATAAGAAGGAACTCAAATCTGCCTCCTAACTGACTGAAAATGGGAATGTAAAACAAATTAAATGATATATAAGACAGTTAAAAAAAAAACCTGGTTCAATATCATGTGGAAAACCTGAACTTTCTGAGTGAAAAGAGGTCAAGAAACATGAGAGAAGGAATATGTGAACCTGAGTCCCATCCTGAGGATGGAAAGAACTACAAAAGATATTTCAGAGAAGCAATGGGACACTTGAACATAGACTGGATTTAGATGATGTGAGAGACTTACTGCTACCTTTAGATGTAGTAATGTAAATGTGCTACATGGGAGATCATCTTCATTCCTAGGATATGTTCCCTGAGCTCTCTAAAAGTGAATCCACAATTTACTTTGAAGATATTTAGCAAAATATCACACATATTTATAAAGATTCCCACATAAATAAATATCTCACAGTGTTCCACAAAGTCAACAATTTTAGATACAGGGTGGAAAATATGGATGTCCAGTATCATGCTCTGAAGTTTTTTGTATGTTTGAAAAAATTTCGTGATAAAAAATGGTGTAAAACTAATATTAAAAATATTTTAATTTTTAACATTCTTATTAGAAATATATAGTGCTCAGTCTCTATATGTGAACTCATTGTTTTTGTAAGCTCTGTTCCAAACACTGACTATTACACCATGTCTGAAACTTGTCAAAAGTAAGTTAGAGCATAGAACCATGCACACAATTCATGGGACTGCACAGCTGATTTGATATCTGAAAGCATCAAGAAAAGCAAGTAAGAAGGGCTCAGGCACAAGGCCAACTGTATAATTAGCTAAAAGTTCCTGAATGTGGATTTCATCCACCATCAGTATCACCATAAATAAGTAACTTCCTCTCAGTCATTTAAATTTCACAAGATCTGCTTTATTCTCTTTGTTAACTGTTCCTCTGGATCCAGAAGCTGAAATAAGAGATAGCAGGGACTCAGGCACCCAACTCCACTCAAACCCTGACCACTGATCTATTTTCATTCTTTTTTGCTCACTGCCCATTCCTATGTACTCACCTTCTTTTTCACACACAGTTCCCCCCACAGCACATTCACCCATCCAATGTCTGATCTTCCTTCATTGCTCAAGGACAAGCTCACCTTACGCTGAAGTCAAATAAATAACCATCCTCCTACTTGATCACCTTTACATCACCAGATTCTGCCACATACTAGGAAAAGATCTTCCCCTCATTTTCACTAATGATTCAGCAGAGATACAATTGAGAATCCTCCACACACTCGAAGACAGTGGATAATGTTAGACTCTTCTGTTCCACCATGGTGAATGAACAGGGGGACAGTACAGGCCAGACACCTGGGAAGTGGTGCAGATACAAGGAAATGAATAAGAGATGGCAGTGAGGCTCAGGGCTCTCACCTGGTTGCAGACAGGCTTATACTTGAGGCCTGGTTTATTCAGGATCATCTCCAGCTGCCTGCGGTTAAAGTTGGACACCCCGATGGACTTGGCCAATCCTGCGTCCTTGCACTTCTCCATGGCCTTGGGAGGAAGGGGTTGGGAAGAGGCATTTGTACAGTCAACTATGTCACTATAAAGGCAAGATAGAACTGTTAAGAGGAGCACTATCGAGAAATGACAACAAAGCTGAAAAGCTGATGAATTGATTGTAAAGAGGGAAAAATGGTAAAGATAATAGGGCAAGTTGTTGAGAGCCAGAAAAGGAACTCGTGTGTCCTCTTTAGGGCATCAGACATGACTGCGTGTGGAGGCAGCAGTTGCGTTTCCTCATTGTCATAAGTTCTTCTCCTCTCTGTCCCTCTGTTACATTCCATTAATGTATACCTCCCTGGACTGGGGTTGTGCTCAGAGGTAGAGCACTTGCCTCATAGTGTGAGGCACTGGGTCCGAATCTCAGTACTACACATAAATAAATGAATAAAATAAAGGTCCTTCAACAACTAAAAAAAAATGTATAACTCCGCACAACCCCAACAAAAAAAAATCTATTTTAAATTTAATGATTTCTAGACCCACAATTTCAGGAGAAAGCATAACTTTACTTTAGTCCTCCGGACTTCCAGTGTGGTCACTCCTTCAGGTACTCACCTCCCACGTGGCACAGAGATCCAGTGAGTCATAAATTATTTTTCCATTTTCATCTTTTGGATAAAGCTCTTCCCCTGGCTGCAAGAAAAGTGATCCTAAGAGAAATCATGCCAAATTCATACGTCCATGCACAACAAGGCTGCTAGGTATATCTATGGAATGGGAGACTAAAGCTCCATGAAACACATGGAACAGCAGTCTAGATTCATCTATTTCCAAATTCTTTACATGCAGAGGTGTAAGGAATACCTTCAGGTGCTTAGCTTCCTGTATTTCCTTACATCAAATTATCTACATGTTTAACTGCTCACACTCTCTCTCTCTCTGTCTCTCTCTCACACACACACACACACACACACATAATCAATTAAGATATTATCAGGTCTCCTAATGGAGTCTTCTAGTAGCTTATGTTATTCTTCCTGTCCCTATATATTGCCCTAGAGAAATGTCTCTCTTTCTCTGGGTAAGTCACTGGTTGCATGGGCTTGATCTCCAGCAATGATGGATTTCAGTGATGACACAGGCTGAAGAGTGGTCTTTATCTACCCAGATACATGTGGATCTAAGAATATGTATGTGTACCAAAGATGGTCATTCAAGTTTCAATTCAAATTTTATTTGATGCTGGAAGATGAAGAGTCCTTATCAAATATTAATGACCTGAAACTTGAACAGCCCCAAAGTCATATTTACCATCAGTGGAAAAGGCTAAGGCAAAAAGCAAGCAAATCTCTAGTAATGCAGACACAATGGATAAATAAACAGAAAAGATTCTGAGGATAACTTATTATCATAAATCTAACCATAGTTTGGAATTTCTATAATTCATATAAATTAAGTTTATATAAATTTATAATAGAATCTTAACCATCAATGATAATGATAGTCATGCTGATGACTGAAATTAAGTAGGTTTGATGCTACAAATTGCCTACCTTCATTGCTATTGGGAAATGAATAAGGTAGAGGTCAACATAGTCAAAACGAAGTTTTTTCAGTGATCTTTCCAAACAAGATTGGACCAGGTTGGGATGATGAAAAGTGGACCATAGCTACAGAGGATAAAAAAGGAAATGGAACTAGATTAATACATTACCCATATTTGGAAGATTTGACTAACTTCATGTTGAGACATTTATTTGTCTATTCCTTGAAAACTGTTGATCATAGGGAAGATGTTCACTTCAGGTCTTGGGTTTTCATTGATCTGACCTATTCATGTAAACTGGATTATATCTTTGTCTATTATTAGTCAACCAATTGAACTATAGAAAGAATTACACAAGACATATAATTTTTATCAAATAATAACACTATTTAATCTATGATTAATGTTCATAGATATTACAAAGCTATTGTTAGTCTATCTCATGCATTCAGTTCAAAATTAGTATATTTTGATTTAAAAACTGAAGGGAAACACATTTTGAACATCTTAATAATCAAGACACTTTAGCTATATCTAGTTTACTACAAATAGAAAAGTCCTACATTGTTCTTTGATAATGACAAATGTAACATGGATATTCAGAATGATAGAAAAATTTAAAAAGTCAACTAGGAGATAATGAATCATTAATCTGGTGAATTCAGTGAATTTCTGGAAGGCCTCACAGGACTCAGCATACAGTTATAGTCATGTTATTCTATCGGATTTCATAACTAATACAAAATCATACTGCTGTTTGGAGAATTAGAAAAAATAAAGAAGTTTAAAGTCATAAAATTGTAGACAGTGAGTAGGAATTTATAATCTTTCCCTATTTTTGATACTGTATCTTTTATGTGAATAAACATTATACAAATAATCACTTTCCACAACAACTGATCACCAACAACTTTTTCACCCAACGTAATTTTCACTTCTTTATATCACATTGCAATAATTTTTACACTGTGTACACAATACCTTTGAAGTATAGAATATGTCTTCTCTCTTCACAGTGCCATCTTCAATCTTGCTTCTAACCGCCAGTCCTACCTCCTCTTCTACTTGATATACATAAGCACAATCAATATGGCGGAACCCAGCTTCTATAGCTATTTTGGTGGCCTCTACTGTCTTACTATTAGGAACCTAGAGGAACAACCAAAAGAAGTACTTGGAGAACCATAATATTAGAGATAACTTATAGTGAGCAAAGAGGACAGGTCAATAGACTGGAAGAATTTTATACCCCAATGTTTTCTTAAGACTACTGAATTATGTGATAAGGTGCTAGTACCCTGAACTTTGAATATCCATTTTTCTCTTCTGTAAGAAATAAAGAAATTGCCAAAGAATTATTTTGAATGTCATGCACAGAAGCAGTGACCTCACAAAACTGATCTCTTGCCCATATCTTGTGTTAGTTCTGTATTTGGTGTAATGTCCTTAAAATCACTTTGGGTATTTCCTTGTTAGTGAGAAGTATCTGGCATCCAAGAAGCCTCTCCAGACACAGAAATCCCAGTACACTGTCATTAGAGGACCCTAGGAGCAATTCGAGTTTAGTGAATTTCTGGAAGGACTCACAGGACTCAGCATACAGTTATAGTCATATTATAATTTATGTGATAATGTCACTAAATAAAATTAACACAGGGGAAGAGGGCATATGATTTATTACAGAAGAAATACAATGCAAGCTCATATGAATCTTCTCCAAGTGAAGACACACAGAATACATTAATTCCCAACAAAGTAATTTTGAAACCACATGGAAAATATTTTCTACAACAAAAGTTGTTGAGATAATTTCCTATGGTTTTCAGTGGGGCTGGTTAATTGATACCCTATGCTAGGATACAACACAATTCCAGTCTCCAAAAAAAAAAGTTAGGTATATCATTCTAAAGATAAGGGCATAGTAAAGCAGCATAGCCCTGAATGTCCATTTCTGTTCACTAAAACCTTGCCAAATTATGGAATAATGAGAGCAAGCCTAGCCCTGTTCATTCAGATATACATTATCTTGAAGGCCCCTGTCTTTCTCTCTTGCACTTTGGAAACAAGGGCAAGCTAATGTCACCTGTAACATGATGCTTTTTGTTATATGCCAGAACAGTCATTCATTGGCATGTTCATGATATAAGCAAATTAAGAAAGTGAATATTGATGATGTCACTGCTTCTGAAGTCTAACATCTAAAACTGCTCTCTTGAGCCTACAGAATATTAGAAATATTTGTCACCCACCTGGAAGATAAGGCATTAATTTCCAGAATATACAAAGAACCCAAAAACTTAACACACAAATATAAAAGGAGGAAAAAATACAGTCAATTAATGGGCAAAGGAAATAAAGAGACACTTCTCAAAACAGAACATACAAACATTCAATGAGTATACAAAAAATGTTCAACATCTCTAGAAATTCAAGAAATACAAATTTAAACTACACTGAGATTTCAACTGACTCCATTCAGAAAGGCAGATATGAAGAATATAGTAATAGGGGCTGGGGATGTGGCTCAAGCGGTAGCACGCTCGTCTGGCATGCGTGTGGCCCGGGGTTCGATCCTCAGCACCACATACAAACAAAGATGTTGTGTCCGCCGAAAACTAAAAAATAAATATTAAAAAAAAGAATATAGTAATAGCTGGGCATGGTGGCACACAACTTTAATCCCAGTGGTTCTGCAGTGCAGCCTGAGACAGGATAATGGGGAGAAAGCCAGTCTCAGCAACAGAGAGGCACTCTAAGCAATTCAGTGAGAACCTGTCTCTAAATGAAATACAAAAATTAGGACTGAAAATGTGGCTTGGAGTTTGAGTGCTCCTGAGTTTAATGCCCAGTACTACTACTACTAGTAATAATAATAATAATAATATAGCAATAAATGTTGGCAAGGATGTAAAGAAAAAGATATACAATATATTGCTGGGGAAACTGCAAATTGATAGAACATTCTGGAAAGCAGCATGGTGATTTTTCAAAAAAAATAGGAATGGAACCACCATTGGACTGGGTTATACCAGTTCTCAGTATGTATCCAAAGGAGTTAAAATTAACCTACTACAGAGAAGCATCCACATCAATGTTTATAGGAGCAGAATTCACAATAGCTAAGCTAGAGAACCAACCTAGGTGCACAACAAAGGATAAATGGTTAACAAAAATGTGAAATACATACATAATGGAATATAACTCAGCCATAAAGCAAAATGACTTTATGACATTTGCCAAAAAAATAGCTGGATCTGGAAACTATCATAAGTGAAATAAGCCCATCCCAAGAAACCAAAGGTCGAATGTTCTCTCTGATATATGGATGCTAATACAGAACAAGGTGGAAGGGAAGGGAAGAATAGAAGAACAGTCAGAGGATTAGAAAAAGGGAGGGGAAATAGGAATAGAAAGACAGTGGGATAAGGCTGACATATATAAATACACCGTAGTGTATCTCCACATCATGTACACCCACAAATTGGCTTTCTAATTAGAATAAGATATATTCTGTGTTTGTATAGATATGTCAAAATAGACTCTACTGTCATATATAACTACAAAGAACAAATAAAATTTTCAGGTTAAAACCCCTTTTTTCATGGTGACTTGGATAGAACTGAGGGCACCGTGGAAAGGATAAGTGTCATTCATTCGGCCATGATTCACAAGACAAAATATCCTGAGAAGGAGGAAGCCCTGCTTGGCAAAGCAGTGTGAGGGAGGCAGGTGCTGTGGTTCAGCCTGTCACTGTTGGACCCTCCCCATAGGCATTTCTCAATAAGGACTTCTGCCTTGTATGCAGTCTCCAGGTATTTTCTCTGGTCTTTGGCAAACTATCCCACTGCCCTGGAACAAGTGGACTATGAACATCACTGGAGAATACATAAATAAACTCCACTATTTTACCAGTTAGGGAACATCACCCTCTTTGTGAATTATAAAGAAGTGAAAAATCAAAGTTTCCCGATGCCAATCAGGGGCCAGAGTGATAATAGCCTTCTGAGTGAAGAGCAATAGGCTATGTCTCCTCTGGCCCACAGCTGAATCTCTATGACAGACTTGAACACTGGCTTGTTAAAAAAATTTCTATACTAAAGATATAGACTTACAAATAAGAAAATGTGCTCATCTTGTAAGGGATTATTAGCATAAGTGTCAGCCCTTAAAGCTAACTCACTCTCTTTTGTGGAAGACATAAAATGAGAGAAATTGAACATTATTTCATGGTCTACAAATTTGGACGATGTTTTGAAAATTCATTTGATAAAGAGCAAAAAGGCAAATCAAACATGCTTTTTTTAATTTTATAGTTTTCAGAAGCTTTCTTCTTCCATGAAATCAGGCTGAATGCAATCCTGGGTCCTACCCGCTTCTGCTAATACTAGCCATGACTTCTTGCTAAAGGTACTTCTCAAGTACCTTTGGCAACACAGATGTCTCTGGATCTTGCCTTCTTAGAAGGAAAAAAAAATTCCTGAAGTATAGAAATAAAGAGAGAAACAAGTCCCAGTGCAAACCAATTACTGACATTTATCGTTCTACCAAGTTGGTAAATAGACTAAAATGTGGGGTTGGGAAGGGTGCTGAGATTAGTCAATAGGTGACCATGCTATTAGACAATAATATAGAGCAATTTCTGACCATTGTCTCTCCTGTCCATGGAATAGGTCTAGCCTGGACAAACAGAAACATGTGAGCCACCCACAGTCATATACAAGCAAGTATTTGATAACCCATATTGGATTCCAGTAATCCTGTGTCTACTTTCTTTTGAACCCTCTACCCATCACTCTGCTGTTACCTCTTTCAGTTTATAGGTGCCAAAGCCCAGCCTAGGAATGAAGTGGCCATCACTGAGCTGCACATACTGATGTTCGGAATTCATTGCTGTTACTCTTCAGCCTAAGCAGGTTTTGCTTCTCTTTATGCCTTTAGAAGTAAATAAATAACTGGAATTCACAGTCCCAACTGCTTATCTAATGACTAAGCAATTCTACATGCTGTCTAATAGTTAGCTAATATTATACAGATGGAGTGAGGTTAAAGCAATATTCCACATGTGAGAAGAGAATTGGAACCAGATCACTTTTTTCATATGGAAAAACATTTCAAGTAAATTACTACATATTCATAAAAAATGTGTTAGTTTTTAATAAATTTCCCCTTAGATTATTGTCATGTGTTATTATGAGAGATTGAACTCTTATTGGCCATTTGTTAAAATGGAAACCTCACATCCCTGTTTTTATGGATTTTCTTTTATTTTTGTACTGGGTTTTTGTTGTTGTTGTTTGTTTGTTTGTTCTGTTTGTTGGTCATGATGAAGCCTCTTATTGATCATACATTATTAGAAATGATGAACTATTACACACCATGCACAAAAACACAAAAGAATTTTTTAAAAAGGATTATGGACTATATTTTGGAGTCTCGGAAAAATAATCAAATGTTAAAATGAACAAAAGTTAGCCTTTTTAGTTTCCTCATTGGTAAAATGTCAAACTTCCATCATTTGACTACGCAGTCCCAAGAGGATGCAGTCTTGACAAGAATGTAGTAAAATCTGCACTCACTGTGACATTCTGCTCAGTGGAAGACAAATGATTACAACCGTGCAAAATCCTTTTACAACAAGCTACCAGAGGCTAAAGTTTATTATAGCTTTTACCTGTTAGGTAACTACCAGAAAATAATCAATATGTAAGATGCAAAATTAAGACATTTTATATTATTTATTAGCATGTCCAAAATTATCCATAAAAGATAAATACTGGAAAAATATTTATGTATTTTGGAATAGTTGTATAAACTTTTGATACACTAATGGAATATTTGAAGCCATTAAGAGTCAAACATGGATATTTATTAATAAAAATTATTACATAAAGGAATAAGAGGTTTTAGTTGAATTGAAAGAGAACTATATTAATCAACAATGTCGAATGTTCATAAATGATTCATGATCAAAAAGGAAAGACTACAAACTGTAAGTAGTCATTCTTTCTGCATAGTGAAACTAGCATTGGTCTCCTACATGCTTTTTTAATCACCTAGATTTTTGGTCTCTTTTATAATTTGAAAAAGTGTTTACTGGTTTGCAGCCCTGGGCTGAGGCGAGGTGCTGCGTTCCAACGCCCCTGTCGGGCTTCCTGAGCGGTCGCGAGAGGCACGGATGGTCCAGGAGCTCGTGGCAGGATGGAGAGGCGCAGAGAATGGCGGGGGATGGCGCCAACACGGGGCCTCGCAGGCCGGGAGCAACGGGCTGCGGAAGCACTGAAGCATTTGTACTGCCTGGACCTTTGGCTCTTCGTGCTCCTGGGCGAGGTGCTGTTCCTCTTCCTATACCTCTTGCCCTGATGGGTTTGCTGACATCCCAAGATCACTGGATTCCGGAGTGAATTCTGAAAATGAACTACAGTCTTCTTGAACAAAGAAGATGGGATTGTGCTACTGCAGAATTTCAAGTCTCCAAGGGACCTTCCTTTCTTTTTACATATTCTTCTAACTCCTTTGGGGAACTACTAAATGAATAGTGATCTCATTCATAGCCAAGTTCCTAAAACTAAATGCAGTGTTTCACATTTAAACTTTTTTTCAAACACCTAATGTCTTTATAGGGGCTGGTGTAGAAGTAAAATTTATACTTCAAATCTTAGCATATTCACTGAGAATACAGTAATATCTTTACTGTTTGTTGTAAGGGTTGGTCTGGGTTTAACTCAAGTCACATAATGTGGTGTGTAACTAGGTGAGGTGAGGTAGTTGTAAATTCCAAAGTTATTCAGAAGTTGAGAAAAGGACTAGTGTTCTGAGATTGTGTAGAGGCTGTCACTAACACAAGCTGTATAGGAAATAGAGTCCACAATCTATTGGCTGTACACATGCTTAGTTTTTAAATGGTCTTTTCATGACCTTTGAAATGCAGGTCGAGGGTCACAAAGGAGGTGGCATTAAATAGTGGAAAGCCCGCCTGCATGCCCTCTTGAGCACCCTCAAATAGGAATGTTTCAAGCCTGTTTTCTTTTCTTTTTTTAAATTTTTGTATTCGGTATGCTTGTGTCCAAAACATTTGCTTGTATAATGCTTGTAACTTATTTGAATACCTCCGCTGTCAGTGGGATATTTACTCATCCTACAGAGCCCTCATCTTTGGCCCCCAGCATTTTAGACATAGCTGTAGGCCAGAGAAAAATTCTTTCCTTTGTAGAGATTGCTCTGTCTTTGTTGTTCTTTTTAAAAATCTAATTGGTATTAAACTCAAATCTAATTGTTATTTAAAAAAAAGTGTTTACTTGTATAAAGTGAAAATCTCTGCCTTTTACACAGATCCTATTTACTTGTGGTTTAGATTTTATGAGATCAAGCCCTTCCCCAATTACACATTATTTGAAACAATGAACTCTCTTACAGCCCCCACACACAAACACACACAGAGAATTCAAGAGGACTGTTGAGTTCCTTTCAAATTTTTATACTCAAGAAACACATCAAAGATTAAAATTGAAAAAAAAAATTAGCCTTGATGACTTTCTCATTGGCAATATATTTTCTGAATGTTCTTATTTTGCTTTGTAATAAAAATGTTCATTGCTCATGAGTGTACAAACTTGAAAATTGTGAACTAACACAAGTGCTATGTCATGCTCCTTTAGTAAAGGATAAATGAGAGCTAAGGACTGTATTTCTAAAGATAAAACTAAACACTTAGGGTTTTTCTGAAAAGTGGGATTCTAAGTGGTTGCTAAATCTTCCATTGTTCATTCCCCTATAATTAAAGTTTTAATTTTGTAAGAAATGTGTTCACTTGTAAAAGGTGAAAAGCAGTGACCTTAAAAATTAAATAGAAGGAATTTCCTGGCAGTAAACACACCCTGTAAACTCCCTTTCAAACTACTTTTGCTCAGTGCCACAAAGGTCACTGAGAGCCCTCAGTTTTCACTGCTGTTTCTCCAATACTATTAAAATTCTGCCTACTCCTCCTGTGAAATACAAACTTGGATTATGGTATCTCCTGAATTTACCTGAGCTGCAATTCCTGGACACTGTCTCCATCTCTCTTCTCTCTGAGATCAGAATATTTGTCTGCACTGATCCTGGTCTCCAAGTGGTCTATTTGGACACAGTACAATGTACTCAAGACTCTACCTGAATAAGTGTCCTGGACACAGAGCCAGAATATCTTTGCCCCACATCCACCACATCTCAGTAGACAACAACCTCACCCACCTTCCATGGTGAACTCTGCTTCTCTATGAATCTTTGGGTTTATTTAGAAATAAAAATCCAATATAAATCACAGAAAAAAGTGAAATGATCAGATTACAATGGGAATAAAATCTTCTGACCATATATAAACTTTCATATCATATAAGGAGTTTGTATCGATAAAAATATCAGATTCTCAAATGATAATTTTTTAAAAAAATTTTTAGATGTTGATGGACCTTTGTTTTATTCATTTATTTAGAAGTGGTGCTGGGAATTGGACCCAGTGACTCACACATGCTAGGCAAGCCCTCTACCACTGAGCCCCAGCCCCAGCTCCTGAAATGAAAAAACTTAAAGAGAACTTCTGTGTCTAAAATATATCCAACCAATCCTCCACTGAGAGAAATTTAAGGATATTCTGGAAAGAACCACTGTGCTATTAAATCTGAGAGCTAAAAGAGTTATTTCTATGTTATATTCATATATTAGCAACCATAAATTTTGGTAAGATGGAAGCCCAGCTCTTTATTTTGTTATAAGCAATTTTATTGAGACTATTGCAACTTTGATAATGTTTAGCAAATATTAGGAGAAGAATCTACCATCTCAAAGATTAGAGCTAACACCTTGGGTGGTCCCTCTGGTTACCAGTCCATTTCACTGAGACATAATCTTCCCAAATTGTCTGATACATTGAGGTTGGCCTTCTGTGCATATCCATGAAGATCAGCCCAGTTGTTTAACAAAGGTACCAAGTGGGAAACACATGGCTCCTACCTTGGGATTTCAATGTCTTATTGGGAATATAGGAAAAAAAATATCAGAGGAGGTTTATTACAATATGTCTGAAATGGTAAGGACATGTTTACAATGGTAAGAACATAATTACAACTGTCATGTTTTAATTATGCTGCAGAAAAGTCTGATGACCAGCAGGCCCTTATTCTCCTAACTCTGGAAATTTTCTATCATAAACTTATAAATCCAACAATAAAAATATTGAATTTATGAAGGCTTATTAATCTAGGTGAGAACCATGTGCCGATGTTACACAGATCAATAACAAAAAAGGCACAAGCTGCTTTTACTGTTACATAGAGTTCTGAACACTGTAGTACTGAAAAATGCCAGGTTAGGATCCTTTCAGTTGTAAGAAAAAGAAAATTCAACTCAACTTGTGTTAAAATTTGAGGAAATTGATGCTCGTCACTACTTTGAGGAAACTAATACTTACTTTCCCAATCATTCTATTAGGAATATTATTATGATATATATGTATTTTAGAAAAATGTAGTACTATGTCATTTATTTGAGACGTTTCTGCTTTTTGAGACCTTGAATAACTATATCACAAAGCCCAGAAACTCCAAACTTCCATCTCAGATACCAAGGGGCAATATCACATCTCAAAGTTGGTCCTTTAAGGCTGCTATAATCTTGACTCTGTTATCTTAACCACTCCTTTATTTTATTATAAGCAATTATAAAGATTAGAGCAAAGACCTTGGTACCATTTCTTGGTACACTCTTTTCATTGCCTTAGTTTAATTTTTGCCAAAGTGATGTTGCCATCACCTGTTATTCTTCATGCAGAAGTAATAACAGAAGCTCTCCAGTTTTTTGGCATTTTCAGCTCAACAGAATTTCTACAGATATCTAGACTATACTTGAGGTACCTAAGATGAAATCTTAACTTTAACTATCCCATAAGCAGGCCTCTTGCTCTGTGGCTTCTACTACATCTCTATGCATCAAATTCCTGATCCACCAGAGCTGCAGTCACTGGGTCTCTCTTCTTTCCTCTGTGAAGTTTGCATACAAGCTGATGTATTCACATTGCATTAAATAAAAGAGGAAGTGAAAGTTGGCCACACTCCTCTTATTGTCTCCCCATTTCTCCTCGAACAGACCTGGGTGAGATGCTGGGTGAGGCCTGTCATTTTCACCTCTTTGTCTGTCCTTGTACCCACTATCTAGGAGAAACATGTCTATACTGAGAACTTATTGCTCTTCTTCTATTTACAATGACCCATTTCTTAAAACTGAGTCTTGACACCAAAGACTCATACTCATTTGGTGTAAAATGATACTTTCAATATTATAGGGTTTTAAGTTTGCCCAGCAGGTCAAAGTCTAGCCAAGACAGGAATCACTGAATGTACTGAATGTAAAGAAATCATTGAATATTCATTATGATTTCAATGACTGAGATGGTTGTCTCCCAATATCCCTTTTCTTCCAGATTATTTCCTTGGGTCACTCATTGGCGTGAGGTCATGAAAAAAAAACTGTACCCAGTCCTAGTAAACGCCACATGAGAAGAATCCTGCTGGGAGCTGCTCTACAAGTATCCCTTTGGTTTATGAGTTGACTGCTCATCCTAAACAGGATATTGTGCTATTTAGGTGATGTCAACACAAGAAGAGGCAAGAGCCAGGAGTAGATGGAGAATTTCTAGATTCATGTGGACAATATCCAGAGTTCATTCATTCTCTGTTTCTGTTATGGAAATAAACATCTCTATGGGATTAAGCCAATTTGATATTTTTATGAGGCTTTTTTTTTTTTTGGCCTTGTTATAGCCAAACAAAAGCAACCACTGAAGATAAAAGTTTCTCCCTGTAAACCCTGCCCTCAGTGCATTTTGCCTACATGCAAGATCATTCAGAATCTCTGAAAACTGCTCAATCACCCTGGAGAGCACAAGTCCCTGTGGTTTCTAAGGACTAATCATGATATGTGCAGAATGTGCTGCAATGTCGCAAGGGGCGTCAATTTTCTTCTGCACTCTTCCTGAGTCATGGTTGGTTCTCCATGCACTGCAAAAGACTGCTGGTGGTTATTTTAATTATTTTCAATTAAAAGTGAATAAAAAAGAAATAAAATTTCTTCTATTTTCTATGATACACTAAAATTATCTGGCAAACATTTTCTAAGGTACATAAAAATGACACCTAACAAAAGTAATGCCATTTTTATGTACCTTAGAATTTATTTTTTGCGTGTTACGTGCTAGGAATTCTGGTGTTTGCTGGACTAAGAGTATCAAGCTGCCTCACTGATCTGCTGAGGCCTGTCATCTAATTTCAGCAATTATCTAAGAGGGCAAACTGCCTGCCTGGCCAGGAGGATGAAGCAAGGTGTTCTAGAGATGATAAACACAGCCTTGTTACCAGGTATCTTCCAAATGTTGTGAGCAGATAAGATACACACAGTGCACTTACCTTGCTTTGAGGAAGGAAATTGATAGCTCTGTTGACACCACCCACAGCACAAGACCACACTGTGCAAGGCAGCTTTGGCAATGGTGGGTAAAAACACCCTGAAATTGTCTACTTGGAATCCCATTTTTCTTCATTGCATGCTTTCATTGGTGCTTTAGACAACTGATTGTTTACAAATCTTATATTGTGTTAATTCACCACACTCCAATGGTTTCTTGAAGTTTCCATGGGAGAAACTGGAGCTTTTCTAGTCCAACATTTTCTGACATCACTCTATATTCTAAATTTCCAAGTGATTTACAGATTTCCTTTCTATAAATGCATCCTAATTGACATGAATATTTTCAAACATACTGTAATTAAGGTTGTTTCAGTTTTTTTCTTTTTAATACTAATCATGACTCCAGCTATAGCATTGGATAAAACATGCCAAAAGTTCCTTTTTGTCTGCAGAATAAAATTATGAAAAGAATATTTGGTAGAAGGAAGCCTGGCAGAGTAGAGGAAGGGAATAAAGAGGAAGAAGGGAAAGAAAAAGAAAGACATGGGGAGGTAACTGTGGAATGAAATCTACTTATTATGCTATTTTCATGTACAAACATACCACAGTAAATCAATAAATCAAATCATTCTCATAGATTACATGTACGTATATTACATTCATTAAAATGACAATAATAGAAGAAAGATCAGGAATGTAGAGCAAGTAGATGAGAAGGAGGAGGACAAGGAAGCTATTCAGGAATGAGCTTGATCCATGTTATGAGCATGCATAAATTTGGCATTATGAATCCTGCTGTCATGTCTCATTATAATGCACCAAAAAGAATTTTTTTCTTCCAAACATATTTCCCAAGCAGAGAAGTACTCAACTCTGCCCTTTTCAAACCTCACACATCTGACCCTTTGTGCTCAGAAAAGGCCAAATCTCCTCTCATCTCTTTGACAACCACCTGGAAGGAAAACCTCATTCCTCAGATTCCAGGAGCTCTGGTCCTTGAGCTGCAGGAAGGGAGCCCTTGGCTTGCTGCTTGTCCTTGCCATGTGTGCTTCACCTTGTTGACTAAAAACCATAATCTATATGCAAAATATTTTCTTGTTACTCCATGGGCTAGAGAATCATTGACTAATAAACATTAATTGCTACTTCCCTAGAGCCTGAGAACCCCTATTCTCACCCAGAAATATATTAGCACAACCAACCTGTGCTTACAGTCTGGTAGCCACGTTAGTTTTTGTTCATGAGTCAAATTGAAACAAAACATAAATGTAATAGAGACAGTGGAAGGTAAGAGTCTTAAGGTAAACAACTTTATTTTTTTATTTCAAAAATTGCTGGAAAATTAGTGCTTTCTTTATTGGACTGGTGAACTTTGCTTTGGCAGAATATGAGTTGCTAAGAATTATGGATTAACAACAGAAGTGATGTGTCAATCAGGACCATCTGAGCTAACTCCTGCCTCACAATCAAAGTGAGGTTACTAGTCGACGTTATGACAAAAGTGTCCATGTTAATATTCATCAGCAAATGGATAATTCGGATCGTCCACCATACTAAAATGAGAAAGAAAAATATATAACATAAACTCGGTGACTCCATTTCTACAGGAGTAAAGAAGTGATACCTACTGAGCTCCATTATATTTCCTGAGTGGTTGTAGAATTTGCCCTTTCTACTTTGATAAACATTGCCATATAGGAAATGGTATTTTAGTTATAACTAAATTGTTCAAATTCTATTCCCTTGCTGAGAATGGAACACAAAGAACTCACAGAGATAAGAATTGACTCATATTCATCTTCCTTAGCTCTATTGGTCAATCTAGCAAATCAAAAACTCCTTTCTTATTTCAAATTCTTAGTGAAAGCAGAAACCGTACCACATTTATTTACTTACTTTGTGGAGGATGATGCATACATTTCTGCCATGTTTAGAATAAGGACAAGTTCAGATATTGACCAATACAGAAAACATTTTAGGTGTACAGTATATAGCTACCCATCTCTCTTCCATTTCACTAAATCATTAATTATTTTCTCACCACACATCACACATGGCATGGTGCTAGATTCAGATGTGGAAAGAAGGTTGTTTATAAGATAGACCTGCAAATCCCAGGAGCTCACCATATATTATTAAGATCTCTATCCTTTAGTAACAATACAACACAAAACCTTTACTTCTGGAAATATTTAATAAGTATCAGGAATTGCCAATTTCTTACCACTGTCTCTCGACATTATGTTCCTACTTCATCATTTACTTATATCAATATTAACAAAAATATTAGTAATGATAATATTATACCTTCCAGTGTTTAAGCACATGTAATCATGGATTGTCTAATCCCCTTTCAAACATCATCTCATTTATTACTATTATGAAGTAAAATTCTGACAGAAGGGACATATATTACTTGTTTATCCTCACTTTTAATGTATGTTCAATGCCAGATTCTATTACCATAAAGCATCCAAAAAGAGTAAAGATTTCTGGTGATTATCAATTCTCTTCAACAGGGTATTTTTCTGCACACTCTTCCCTTCTTTTGATTCTCTCTTCTCAAAAACTACTTTATCCTCTGCATTGAGACACCTATAGTTTTTAATTCAAAACCAAATGTCCTCCCAACAGGCTCAAAGGAAGCCTTTGGACAAACAACTGCACTGTCTGGGTTCTGATCGAAACTGCACTAAAAAGGAGGGAAAGACTTGAAAATAAACAAACAAAGGCCACATGTCTATCAAAGTTACTTACAGATGAAAGGTAACATATCGAAAATTTCTGTTCAGGCCATCTAGGACTTTCATGTCTTCTTCGGTCAACGCAAAATCAAAAACCTATCACACAAGTAGAGAATTTTTAGCCTATGTAGACTGCATATTTCCAATCCTGGAAATTCAATGAAATCATATTGTTGCTGAAATATTTAAAATATGTGAGAAGTTTCCAAAAGTTATTAAACACATCAAGAAAAACATAGTTATGATGAATAAACATCTGGTGAAATTTAAAAAAAAAATCACTTCTGACATATATTGTGTGGGAACTACAGACAAATACAACTACAGACAAATACAAACCTCAAAAAGAAGGTATAGAAAAATAAACTAATGTTACTCCAAGATTACAGTGTCATGCATTGAAAAGACCCAGAGAAATCTAGAGGCAACAATTTGAAATACATAAGATAATTTAATAATTTTCAAGGATACAGTCTGATTTCTAGGTCCTATAAGTGGAGAGTGAAAACTCTGATAATGATTTTCTTCAACATTTTTAAGTCAGGAATTGTTAAAGTATTAATTATATCCTCTTCAAAATGCAAAGAATCTAGTTCCAATAATCACCTTGTCTAAATTTGAGTCATTTAAAATATAGAAACAGTTTTCATGAATTGCTAACAAACTTAAACATATGGGTACTTAAATCTTGGTAATTGCCTTAAGAAATGGTAAAAGAGTAAAATGTTGATTGTTTAACAATTGAGGAATTAGATAAATAGCATTCTCTGCATCCTTCTTTGAACTTCTCTGTACATTTGGAAAGTCTCAAAATGAAAATGGATGTTATTTAAATATCATCAAAATTGTCATTCCTGTATGAATAAACCTATCAGAATTTATACAAATATCTTCATGGATCAGTTTACTGCAGTATATTTAAAGACTAGCTAAACATTGGGAAACTCATATCACAATCATGGAGTATAATCTTTAATATTTATTAATATTTATTGACTGACCCCAATAACATCCTTACAAATTTCAAAGAAGCACACATGTGAAGCATACTGTGTAAGAAACCATATTCTCCCAGCCCTCCTCTCTACCTGAATGTTCTCTTTTATTTCATTTTCCTTCAAACTCTGGGCCAGAACCACAACCCCACGCTGCAGCTGGTAGCGGAGGGCAATCAGGGCTGGGGATCGCTTGTGCTTTTTTGCCAAGGCACCAATAACGGGATCATCCAAGAGAACTGGAGAGCTCTGGTCAACCCTGGAAGGAAACACAGAGATGCTGAAGCCCTAAAGCCAAGTCATGTATTTCTCTTTAGGGGATGATGTGTTTACTGGGGATGGAACCCAAAGGCTTTCTACCACAGAGCCATAAGCCTAGTTCTTTTTTATTTTTATTTTGAGATAGCGTCTCACTGAGTTTCTGAGGCTAGCTTCAAGGTTGCAGTCTTCCTGCCTCAGCATTCCAAGTCCCTGGGATTACACCAAGCACCACTGCACCTACTTGCAAAACACACTCAGGTCTCTTTGGACCACTCTAAACAGGGATCCTCAAAAGCAGTCCCTGTACCAGCACCACCAGTGTCTTATGGGATCTTCCCAGAAATGTAAATTCTCCCCTCTCCCAATGTCAGTGAGAGTGACCTTTTGAAATCTGAGGCTTAGGACTATAAATAGTTCATCAACAATGGCATTTGAGGTAAACTCCCTGATGTTCTCATTACCATCGTTTTTCTCGTTGAGTTCCCAGAGCACTATAAGCAATCAGAACAATGTCTTTGGATTTGCAGAAGTCCAGCAGTTTCCTCTGGTTGTGATAAACATGACATTCTACCTGCAGTGGACAAGATAGAAGGTATCTCATTCTACTCAATGCTAATGCTACTATGAAAACAAAATGCCAATAAAAAGAAGCTGAATTTTTTTAAAAAAATGAAAGTTGGATTTCAAACTGTGTCATCAATCAAGAATTTGTACAAAGACTCATGAGGACAGTTTTGAAAGACATTTGTGGGTATTTTATAAGTGGCATTTTGGTGAATTTGTTCATCAAAAGCAATAAAACCAGATTCTAGAACTCAGGGAGCTTAGAATAATTCCCCCTAACATAATCTGTAATAACAAGTTCCAATTTGAACCAGTCAGTGTGGGACAAAGTGACTCTGACTTGAACATCTCCCCTATACAGGGCAGTGACAATGGAGACTTGTAAATCTGATGAAACCCTACTGTCAGAGGTGAACCTGGGCATAACTCTAAAAACTTCCATGGTACACCCAACAAAACTGGAAAGCAAGATGTGCATGCCATCCCTCTCCTCTCTGTGAAGATTCGCTCTTCACAGAGAGGAGAGGGATAGCATGCACATCTTGGGAGTCTCACCTTTTTGCTTCCTAATCACCCCATGCCTGTTGCTCTGAGTAACATGTCTGGTGTTGTTCTAGTGTGATGCAAAACCCAGTAACTGTGGACCACTCTGTCTGCCTTGGCTCTTTGGCAGACCCTTGATCTATAAGAAGGGATTCAAGTCTACCTCCTAACTGACTGAAAATGGGAATGTATAGCAAGTTAGCTGACATAATAAGACAGTTTGGGGAAAAAAAAGCCCTGGAAAGTGTCATGTGGAAAAGCACTGGGCAAATATTCTGTGTTAAAAGAGCTTAACAAACATGACAGAAAGTAACATGTGAATCCAAGTCACATCTGGGAAAATGGGAAAAGCTATAAAAGCTATTTCAGAAAAGCAATGAGAAACTTGAACATAGACTGGGTTTAGATCATGTGAGAAACTTAGTATTGGATATAGTATTCAAAATAAGGTATATGAGAGATCATCTTGGTTCCTAGGAGATGTTCTCTGAGCTCTCTAAAAGTGAATATCCAGTCTACAATGCACTTTGAAGAGATTCAGCAAAATATTAAAGAGAAGTATGCAGATATACCCACATAAATCAACATTTCATAGTGATCCCAAAGTGAACAATCTTAGATACAGGGTGAAAAATATGGATGTCTGGTATTATGCTCTCAATTTTTTTGTATGTTTGAAAATTTTCCTGATTAAAAAACTTGGGTAACAATAATTCTAAAATATATTCAATTTTCATGATTTATATTAGAAATTTATACTGATCTTTCTCTAAATATACATTCATATACATATGTGTACATTCATATACATAGAGAGTATTTTATATATATATATATATATATATATATTATACATATATATATATATATATATATATATATGTATTTATAAATTTTATGAGCTGTGTTCCAATCAGAGACCCATTACTTTATGACTGAAAGTCTTCAAAATTAAATTAGAGCACAGAACCACGCACAGGGTACCTATGATTACACAGTTGATTTGATATCTGAAAGCAGGGAAGAAAGAAATTTAGAGGGGCTCAGGCACAAGGCCAACTGTATAAGAAGCTAATAGTTCCTGAATGTGGATTTCATCTACCATCAGTATCACCATACACAAGTACCTTCCTCTAGTCCATTAACTTTCACAAGCTCTACTTTACTCTTCCTGTTAAGTGTTCCTGTGGGTCCAGAATGCTGAAATGGGAGATAACAAGGGTACCCAATCTCCACACAAAACCTGACCACTGATCTTCTCTGATTTTCAGTCTTTTCTTGCTCACTGCCCATTTCTATGTACTGGCCTTCTTTCCTACACACAATTCCCACCACAGCACATTCACCCATCCAGGCTCTGATCATCCTTCATTGCTCAAGAAGTTCACCTTGACCCTGAAGTCAGATAAACAACCAACCTCCTCCTTGGTCACCTGTACATCACCTGATGTCTCCATAAACTGAACACTAAGATCTTTCCCTCATTTTCACCAGCAGAGATACAATTGAGAATCCTCCACACCTTCCAAGATAGTGGCACTGATTTTACACTCTTCTGTTCCACAAAGGCAAATGAACTGGGGGACAGAACCAATGAACCCCTGGCACCAGTTCAGAAACAAGGAAGTGAATAAGAGATGGTAAAGAGGCTCAGGGCTCTCACCTGGTTGCAGACAGGCTTATACTTGAGGCCTGGTTTATTCAGGATCATCTCCAGCTGCCTACGGTTAAAGTTGGACACCCCGATGGACTTGGCCAATCCTGCGTCCTTGCACTTCTCCATGACCTTGGGAGGAAGGGGTTGGGAAGAGGCATTTGTACAATGGACTATGTCAATATAAAGGTAAGATAGAACTGTTAAGAGGAGCACTGTCAAGAAATGACAACAAAGCTTACAAATTGGTTATTAACAATAGAAAAATGGTAAAGATAATAGGGCAAGGTATTGAGAGCCAGAGAAAGAGTTCCTGTGTCCTTGGGAAATCAGACACCACTGCACGTGGAGGCAGGAGCTGGTGTCCTCAGTCCTTCTCTGATGGAATGTGTTCCTCCCCACCACCCTAACATTAAACCTCTTTTAAACATGATTTCTAGACCCACAATTTCAGGAGAAGCATGACGTGATTGTCACCCTGTGGGCCTCCTGTGAGGTCACTCCTTCAGGCACTCACCTCCCATGTGGCACAGAGATCCACTGAATCACATATGATTTTTCCATTTTCATCTAGTGGATAAAGCTCTTCCCCTGGCTGCAATAGAAGTGATCATCACAACAATCTTGCAGAATTCATGCTTATGGATTAAAATGTATATCTAAGAGATGGAACACTAAACCTCCATGAAATAAAGGGAGTATTGTTCTATATTCATCTATTTAGAAAATGTTTACATGTGAACGAGTAAGAAGTACATTTAGATGCTCATTTTTGTATATTCTCTTATACCAAATTATCTCTACGTTTACATATATATTTATACACACATACATATATACTCATATATAATTAAATAAGGTAATCTCAGGTCTCAGGATTGGGTCTTCTAGTTGGCTTATGCTATTTTTCCTGTCCCTATATATTCCCCTAGGGAAGTGTCTCTCTTTCACTGTGTAAGTCACTGGTTGCATGGGCTTGATCTCCAGCAATGATGGATTTCAGTGATGATACAGGCTAAAGAGTGGTCTCTTTCTACCTGGACACATGTGGATCTAAGGTTGTGTATATGTAGCAAAGATGGTTATGGAAGTTTCAATTCAAGTTTGAATTGATGCAAGAAGATGAAGAATCCCTATCATATACTAATGACCATGAAACTTGAACTACCTCAAAGTTATATGTACCACCAGGGGAAAGGCTAGGACAAAAACGAAGCAAACTTCTAGCAATGCAGACATAATGAATTATTAAACAGAGACGTTTCTGAGGATTCCTTCTAATCATAAACCTAGCCATAGTCAGAACTTCTATAATTTGTATAAATTGTTTATATTAATTTATCACAGAAGTTCAATTCAAACATCAATGATAATGATGGTCATGGCTGAAATTAAATAGGTTTGATGATGCAAATTGCCTACCTTCAGTGCTACTGGGAAATGAATAAGGTAGAGGTCAACATAATCAAGATGAAGTTTTTTCAGTGATCTTTCCAAACAAGATTGGACAAGTTCTGGTCGAAGAAAAGTGGACCAAAGCTACAGATGTTAAAGAAAGGAAATTATACAGGATTAAAATATCATGAGTATTTGAAACATTTGTTTAACTTCATATTGAGACATTTATTTGTCTATTCATTGGAAACTGTTGATCACAGGGAAGATAATCTCTTCAGGTCTTGGATTTCTACTGATATGACCTATTCATGTAAACTGGATTATATTTTTGGTATTATTAGTCAATCAATTGAACTATGGAAGGAACTATAGAAGACATATAATTTTTATCAAACAATAACATCATTTGATAAAAATTGGGCTCATAGAGATCACAAAGCTATAGCTAGACTATCTCGTCTATTCAACACATAAGAATTAGCATTTTTTATTTAAAGATCTGAAGGCAAACACATTTTTAACATTTTAATAAACAAGACAATTTAGTTAACAATTTACTACAAATTGGTCTTTGATAATAATGAATGTAAAGTTGATATTCAGCATAACAGGAAAATTTAAAAAGTCAATCAGAAGATAATGAATCCATAATCTGGTCATAATTCTATCTGATTCCACTACCAATACAAAATCATACCATTGATTGGAGAATCAGAAAAGTTAAGAACTTTAAAGTCATAAATTTATAGATTGTGAGTAGTAATTCATAATCTTTCTGGTTTTGATACTGTATTTTTATGCAAATACACATTGTACAAATAATCACCTTATACAACTGATAACCCAACATAATTTTCACATCTTTATATCACATTAAAATAATTTTTACACTAGTTAATACAAGAATATGGCATTCTATAAGCCTCTTACACTGTATACACAATACCTTTGAAGTACAAAATATATCTTCTCTCTTCACAGTGCCATCTTCAATCTTGCTTCTAATGGCCAGTCCTACCTCCTCTTCTACTTGGTATGCATAAGCACAATCAATATGGCGGAAACCAGCTTCTATAGCTATTTTGGTGGCCTCTATTGTCTTACTATTAGGAACCTAGAGTAACAACCAAAAGTATTTGAGAGTCATATTATGACAAGTTAACTCATAGTGAGCAAAGAGGACAGGTTGATAGACTGGAAGGAAATTTATATCCCAATGTTTTCTTCAGACTACCTAATTATGTGATAAGGTGCTAGTACCTTGAACTTTGAATGCCCATTTTTCCTTACATAATACTTAAGGAAATAGCCAAAGTACAAAATTGAATATCTTGGGCCAAAACAGTGACCTCCTGAAACTCAACTTTTGCTCATGTCTTGTGTTAGTTCTGTATTTGGGGTAATGTCCCTGAATCACTTTGGGTATTTCCTAGTTAGTACAAGAATCTGGCATCCCACAAGCCCCTTCAGATACAGAAATCCTAGTACACTCACATCAGAGGACCCTAGGAGTGACTCAAGTTCCTTAAGTTTCTGGGAGAATTCACAGAACCCAGCATACAGGTATAGACATGTTATCATTTATTTGATAAATCACTAAGGAAAATTAATACAGGGAAAGAATGCATGAGATTGATTATAGAAAAAATATTATGCAAGGTTCTATGAATCATCTCTAAATAAAGATACACAAATTATATTAAATTCCTAATAATGTGAATTTTGAACCACTTGGAAAATATTTCCTACAAGAAAATATGTTGAGTTCATTTTCTAAGATTTTCATATACTTGTTGACTGTTTGTTCCTCCTGTTTGAGAAGTGTCTGCTTAATTCCTTTCCCCACTAATTTATTGGGTTTTACTTACTTTCTTTTCTTGGCATTAAGTTTTTGATTTATTTTTATATTCTTGAAATTAATGTCTTATCTACACTGTGGGTGGTAAAGATTATCTCTAATTCTGTAGAATCAAGAGATTTTTTTTGGTTAAATTGACACTCTATGCTAGGACACAACACAATTCCACTCTCTCAAAGAAATATAGATGTGTGTGTGTGTGTGTGTGTGTGTGTGTATACATATATATGGTTCATACATATACATATATATGGTCCTAAAGAAAAGGGTAAAAAACTATTTGCCTGAATATCTGTTTCTGTTCCCAAAATCCTAGCCAAATTATGAAATAATGAGAGCAAGCTTGGACTTCTTCTCCCAGATATTTATTATCTCTAAGAACCTTGACTTTTTCTTCTGCACATTGGAAATGAGGGCAAGGTAATGTTACCTGTGAAAACATGCTTTTTTTCTTGTATGCCAGGACAGTTGCTCCTTGGCATGTTGGTGATATAAGCAAATTAAGGAAGTGAATGTTGATGATGTCATTGCTTCTGCAGCCTAACATTCTTGGTTCTACAGAACTGGAGATAACCTTTGTCATCCACAGTGTAGAAAAGGCGTTAATTTCCAGAATATATAAAGAAATCAAAAACCTTACACCAAGAAAAGAAAGTTAGTAAAACCCAACAAATTAATGAGCAAAGGAATTAAACAGACACCTCTCAAACAGGAGGAACAGTCAACAAGTATATGAAAAAAACATTCAACATCTCTAGAAATTAAAGAAATTCAAATTAAAACTACACTGAGATTTCAACTGACTCCATTCAGAAAGGCAACTATCAAGAATATACTTTAAATGGGAAAACTGTGAATTATATATCAATAAAGCTGATTTAAAAGCTTTAAAAAAAAGAATACAGTAACAGTGCGGGGGGCTGTAGCTCAGTGGTAGAGCGCTTTCCTCCCACGTGTGAGGCCCTGGGTTCGATCCTCAGCACCACATAAAAATAAATAAATAAAGATATTGTGTCCATCTACAACTAAAAATATTTTTTAAAAAAGAATATAGTAACAGCTGGGGAAGTGACTTACAACTATAAACCCAGAGTCAGGAGGCTGAGACAGGAGGATGGCAAGTTCAAAGCCAGCCTCAGTAATGGAAAGGCACTAAGCAACTCAGGGAGACCCTGTCTGTAAATGAAATACAAAAAAATAGGGGTGGGAATTGGGCTCAGTTGGTTGAGTACTCATGAGTTCAATTCCTGGTACCAAAAAAGAAAAAGAAAAAGAATGACAATAAATGTTGGTGAGGGGAATGTAAAGAAGATGGTACACTGTACAGTGCTGGTGATTGCAAATTGATGTAACCATTCTGGAGCACAGTATGGAAATTTTCCAAAATGATAGGAATGGAACCACAATTCGACTGGGTTATCCCATTTCTCTGTATGTATCTGAAGGAGTTAAAATCAGCGTACTACAGTGAAGCATCCACATCAATGTTTAGAGCAGTGGAATTCACAATAGCTAAGCTAGGTACACTTCAACAAATAAATGGTTAATGAAAATGTGAAAGACATACACAATGGAATATAACTCAGTCATTAAGCAAAATGACTTTATGACATCTACTAGTTCAATGAATGGATCTGGAAACTATCATGATAAGTGAAATAAGGCAGTCCCACAAAAATCAAAGTTTGAATCATCTCTCTGATACGTGCATGCTAACACACAGCAAGTGGGGAGGGAAGGGAGGAACAGAAGTTTGGAGTTATAGAAAAAGAAGAATGACAGAAGGAGGTAGGAATGGGAATAGGAAATACAGTGGAATAAATCTGACATAACTCTCACATGTTCAGGCTGGGGATATAGCTCAGTTGGTAGAGTGCTTGCTTCACATGCACAAGGCCCTGGGTTCCATCACCAGCACCACACTTACACACATACAAAAAAAAATTCATATGTTCATATATGAATATACCACAGAGAATATCCACATCATGTACATTTAAAAGACTGGGATTCTAATTAGAATAAGACATACTCCATGTTTTTATTAATATCTCAAAATCCACTCTAGTTTCATGTATAATTAAGAAGAACAAATAAAAAACTTGGGTTAAAAGCCCTCTGTTTGTGGTAACTAGGATAGAACTGAGGGTACTGTGGAGAATATAAGTGTCACTCATCCAAACAGGGTTCACAGAACAAAATGTCATGAGGAGGAGGAAGCCCTGCTTAGCAAAGCAGTATGAAGGCAGGTGCTGTGGTTCAGCCGGTCACTGCTGGACCCTCCCCATAAAGACTCCTCAATAAGCACTAGTGCCTTGTACGCAGTCTCCAGGTATTTTCTCTGGTCTTTTGGCAATCTATGCCACTGCCCTGGAACATCAGGACTATAAACATGACTGCAGAATATATAAATAAACACCACTGTTTAGATTACTTAGGGACAGCAGGAATCCTTGTGTGTTATAAAAAAGTGAAGAATCAAAGTTTCCAGAGGTAACCAGGGACCAGGTTGATAATAGGCTCTTGAACAAACAGCAATATGCTGTGTCACCTCTGGTCAACATCTGTATCTCTGTATGACAGAACTAGACACTGGCCAGAAAAAAAAATATATGTTCTAAGGATATAGACTCACAGAGAAGAAATTATACTCATCTTGTAAGGGGTTATTCACATAAGCATTAGCCCTTGAAGCTCACTCTCTGTGGAAGATAAAATAAGAGTGAAATGGAAAATATTGCATCATCTACAAAATTTGGATGATGTTTTGAAAGTTCATTTGTTCAAGAGTAAAAGGCAAATCAAACATGCTGTTTTCTATCTGACAATTTTCAGAAGCTTTCATTTTCCATGAAATCAAACTGAATGCAATACTCAGCCCTACCATTTACTGCTAATACTAGCCATTATTTCTCAGGTGTAAGGGCATGTGAACTACAGCTGAAGTCCTAGTGGTCTCCTTCATGCCACTTTACCCTACAATGTAACCAGTTCCTTTCACGTGTCTTACAGTTGGTCTCTGGATTTTTCCTTAAGTCATGCAGAAGAAAAAATGCTATATTCAAAGTTCAGAAACTAATCTCATATCACACAATTAAGTGTCCAGAGTACAAAATTAGTTCCAATCTAGTGAACTTGGCTCGCTCTACTTTAGATTATAATTTGTCAATACAACACACATGAACAATGACCCCAAAATGACAAATACACTTCCTAAGTTCCTGTTCGACTTCTCAGGATGTTATATTATACATTCAGCTAAATTTCCTGCATGTGAGAGCACATGAAAACTCTGCTCAGCCAAGGTCCAACATTTTCTGTGAGATACTGAAACCTTCCTCATAGTGAAAAGGAAGTATTTCCCATCATTTATTCTTATGCTTCTCAAGTACTCTTAGCAACACAAAAAGTTCCCAAAGTATACAAATGAAGAGAGAAATTAATCCCAGTGCAAGCCAGTTGCTGACATTCATCATTTTACCAAGTTGGTAAATAGACTAAAATGTGGTGGAGCAGTACCCAGAATACTCAATAGGTGACCACACCATCAGACAATGATTCAGAGCAATGTCTGACCATTTTGTCTCCTGTCCATGGTATAGCTCTAGCCTGGAGAAACAGTAGCACATGAGCCCCCACAGTCACACAGGAAGCAAGTAACTTAACCACTCAGATTGGATTCCATTCATCATATGTCTAGTTTGTTTGAACGCTCAACCCAACCCCCTTCTGTTACCTCTTGAGGTTTATAGGTGCCAAAGCCCAGTCCAGGAATGAAGTGACCATCACTGAGCTGCACAAACTGATGTTTGGAATTCATTGCTGTCACTCGTCAGCCTAAGCAGGTTCTGCTTCTCCTTCTGCCTTTAGAAGTTAGTAGATGGAATTCACAGTCCCAGCTGCTTGTCTAATGATTAACCAAAACTGTTGCTGTGGGTCACTCAGCTATCTCAGTCCCAGAGGGTGTGGGGCACGTGGAGTCAAAACACAAACACCAGGAGCTGGTGAGAGCAGGCAGGTGGCAGACCTCAGCAAGCTCATTTAATGTGGAAGTGGTTACAGTTGATGGAGGGCACAGTTCTCCAATCATTAATAAGCAAACAGGTTATATAACATCTAGAAGCCAATTATCTTAATGTAACCCCACTATGAGGAAGTTCTAAATATTGTTACGCAGCGGAAGGCAGACAGGAAAGATCATTGTCCTGATGAAAAGGAGCCTTATGAGTTGGGGGAATCATGCCCTGAGGCCCTTGTCTTTCAGTTCTGTGGCAATGCTGACCTCAGTCCCTGAGAATGTGGTTTCTCAGAAGGCTTGTAGCTGCTGGCTGCAAACCCAGAATTACTCCCACACAAATCTACTTGCTGTCTCATATTTAGCCAAACTTATTCAGGCAGAGTGAGGTTAAAGTAACATTCTACATGTGAGAGGAGGACTGGAACCAATTCACATTTTTCATACGGAATAAAATTTCAAGCAGATTACTACATAGTCATAAAAATGTGTTTATTTTCAATAAATTTTCCCCTTACAATATTATCATGAGTTATTATAAGAGATTGAATCCTTATTGTCCATTTGTTAAGCTGGAAACCTCACATCCCTGGGTTTTTTTTTTTTTATTATTGTTGTTGTTTTTGCATGTTCTTTGGTTTTTGTACTGGGGTATTTTATTGTTGTTTTGTTTTTTTGTCATGACAAAGCCTTTTATGTCATACATTATTAGAAATGATGGATATATCATATGTCATTCAACAAACACAAAGGAATTTTAAAAAATTATTATGAACCATTTTTTTGAGTCGCAGAAAAATAAACAAATGTTTAAAATAAAAAAGTTAGCCTTCTTAATTTTCTCATTGGTAAAATATTTTCCATAATTTGAGTACCAAGTCCCAAGAGGTTGCAATCCTAACAAGTGTGCAGTAACATCTGCATGCACTGTGACATTCTGCGAGGTGGAAGACAGATGATTACAGCCTTGGGAAGTCTTTTTACTCTAGGTAACCAGAGGCTGAAGTTTAGGATAGCTCTCACCTGTTAGATTACTACCAGAAAATAATCCATATGTAAGATGCAAAATGAAGACATTTTGTGTTATTTATTTTCTTCTTCAAAATTATCCATAAAGGATAAATACCACAAGAATCTTAAATCATTATAAGTTTTGGAATCGTTGTATGAACTTTAATACACTGATGAAATAGAATATTTGAAGCAATTAAGAGTCAAATATAAATATATACCAATAAAAATTATTACAGAGAGAAATAATAGTTTTAATATATTATAATCACAACATAATATGTTCATAAAGGATACGTGATAAAAAAGGACAACTACAAACTGTAAGTAGTCATTCTTTCTGCATAGTGGGATTATCATTGATCTCCTACATGCTTTTTAATCACCCGCACTTTTTTTGCCCCTTTTAGAATTTGAAAAAGCATTTCTTATATAAATTGAAAAGCTCTGCCTTATATACAATCCTATTTACTTGTGGTTTAGATTTTGTGAGATCAAGCCCTTTCTTGATCACACAGTATTTGATAAAATGAACTATCTTACCCCACATGCAAGCACACACAGTGGATTTAAGAGGATTGTTGAGCACATTTTAAATTTGACCCTCATAATAAGCATCAAAGGTTAAAACTGAAAAAAAAATCTCCTCTCACTAGTTGTATATGACAGAGTCACACTACAATAAATTAGAACAAATAAAAGAATAGCCTTTATAACATTCTCATTGGCAATATATTTTATAAGTATTCTCATTTGGCTTTTAATGAAATGTTCATTGTTGAAAGGTGTGCAATCCTGAGAAATCTGAACTATAAAAGATGCTACATCATGCTGCTTAGTGAAGGATGATTGACTGACAGGTCTAGAAACATTATTTCACAAGATACAATGGAAGTCTTTCTGAAAAGTGGGATTCTGAGAGATTTCTAAATCTTCTGCATGTTGTTCAGAACTCTACAATTAATGTTTCCCTCTTATAATCTAAAAAAACTGTTTACTTATACAACGTGAAAGTTTTCTAACCCTGAAAATTAAATAGGAAGGAATTTCCTGACAGAAAACAAGTCCTGTAAACTCTCTTTCAAACTGTGTTCCTCATTGCACAAACCTCACTGAGGGTACTCATTCTTCACTCCTGTTTTTCCTTTTATGTCAAAATTCTGCCTATCCCAAACCATGAAATACAAATTTGGATTATAGTATCTCTGAGTTTACCTGAGTTTCAATTCCTGAACATTGTCTCCATCTCTCTTCTTTCTCAGACAAATACCAGAATATTTCTCTGCACTGATCTCGGCCTCAACATGGTCTACTTGGACATGGCAGCATGTGCCCAAGGTTCTACCTGAATATCCTGGACACAGAGAAGAATACCTTTGCCCCACATCCACCACACCTCACTAGTCAACAACCTCACCCATCTTCTAGAGTGAGCTATACTTATCTATAGAGTCCTAGGGTTTGTTGAGAAATAGAAAAAACAATTATCACAGAAAAAGAGAAATGATTAGATTACAACAGGAAAAAAATCTTATGGCCATATATAAATATTCATATCATATAAAGAGATTGTATTAATCCATAAAAATCTCATGTATTCTCAAATGATGAATTCTAAAGAAAAATTCTGTATCTAAAATATATCCCACAAGGCCTCCACTGAGAGTAATTTAACCATATGCTGGAATAAACATGGTGAAGGTGAATTATTCCTATACTCTATATATAAATTTACATCCATAAATTCAGGTAAGATGTAATCCCAGCTCTTTATTTTGTTACAAGCAATTATATTGAGACTATTGCAACTTGGATAATGTTTGACAAATATTAGATGAAGAATCTACCATCTCAAGATAAACAAACTGAGTCAGTACACTTACAGCCAACCTTGGGAGTAACCCTAATGCCTAATGTGGCCACAACAGATCCCTACTGGGGTTTGTGGGCCTTTACCTCCAAATACCATAGGTCTAATTTGGGGGCAAAGCAATTTTCAAAAGGGAATTCAGATGCTGCCAGGAGTGACTGATTCAAATTTTAGAGATGAAATTGAGATTATTGTTCAGTCCGACCACGCCACTCAGCTCTCTTTCAAGACAGGTATAGGCACAACTGGTACTCCTGCCTTGTGGCTCCAGGATGCCCAGGTGAGAGCTCAACTTCCTGGTCCCCAGACCAAGTGTCCTGGCCTCAATTAGCTCGGCAGGAGCGCCCTCTACTGGATCTTAAAATCAATCATAACTTTCGGGGTATCATAGATACTGGGGCTGATAGATATCTGTTCTATCTAGAAGATTCTGGCCTAAGAGCTGCCCTTTGCATATTGCATCTGCCAACTTGGAGGGTTAGGTCAGATCCCTCAGCCTGCATAAAGTGCTCAGTATCTTCGCTGGGAAGATAAAGATAGTAACTCTAGGATTTTTAAGACTTATGTCTTAGACACTTCGCCAGGAAATTTGTGGGGCTGAAATAGTCTAAATGCCTAGGTTTGTTACTAATAACTCCAAATTCTATCATGTCATCTGAGGATTTAATAAAAAAATGTATTCCTAGATTAATTGAGGGAAATTTACAAGAAGGATATTTACCTATAACCCAATCTTCCCAACAGAGATTAATTAATACACCCAGCCAAAATTTTTTGTAAGGGCCCTGACTTTATCCCGGCCCATAGAACAGCAGAAAAAAATTAATTGGCTCACAGAAGAGCCACTCTGGGTTAGTCAGAGGCTCTTAACAGGGAAAAACCTTAAAATATCCCACATTCTAGTTCAAGAACAACTTCAGCCTGGCCATTTACAACCCACACTCAGTCCTTGGAACACACCCATCTTTGTAATCAAGAAAAAAATCTGGCAACTGGAGATTATTACAAGATCTCAGGGCAGTTAATCGTGTTATGGAGCCTGTGGGAGCCTTACAACCAGGGCTTCTTTCTCCTACAGCTATCCCCTTGGATTATCATTTAATAGTAATAGCTTTAAAAGATTGTTTCTTTTCTATACCTTTGAAGCCAGACGACTGTAAAAAGTTTGCCTTTAGTGTCCTGGCAATAAATTTTAAAGAACCAGGTAAAAGATATTCCTGGAAAGTGCTGCCTCAGGGAATGCATAAAAGTCCTACCCTATGTCAAAATTTTGTGGCACAGGCCATCACACCTGTGAGGGGAAAATACCCTCATGCATATATTATTCATTTAATGGATGATATACTTTTACTTGATGCTAATCCAGACATACTCTTAGAAATTTTTGCCCGATTACAGACTTCACTCAGCAATGGGTTTAGGCATTGCACTTGAAAAGGTGCAGAGAACATCTCCTTTTCTATATCTAGGTCATGTAATTGAAGGATGCACAATCTGTCCTCAAAATTTACAAATAAGAGTCAAGGAATTGCATACTCTTAATGATTTTCAAAAACTATTAAGTGATATAAATTGGCTGATGCCATCTTTAAAGCTAAGTACTGAGTCACAGATTTAAGTCCTTTATCTCAAACATGACAGGGAGATCCTTCTCCAACTTCTTCTCATCAGTTCACAACAGAAGTGAGAACAGCTTTGAGAAAGGAAGAAATTGCTATTATAAATGCTCAACTTACTAGAATTAATCCACAAGAATCTATATATTTATTGATATTCCCCACTGATTATGCTCCTACAATATGGCAAGAATTGGGAGTTATTGAGTAGATTCATTTAGCCCACTCTCCTCAAAATTCATTAACTCCTTTTCATAATTTTGTTGCTCAATTAGTTATCAAGGGCAGAACACGAGTTTTACAGCTGGTTGGATCAGAACCTAATATTATAATCAACCCAATTTTCTGCTCAATAGTATGATTGGCTTTTCCAAACTTCTAATACTTGGCAAAGAGCTTTTGCTAATTTTCCTGGTAAGATAGAAAGTCATTATCCTCGTGATAGAATTATTCAATTTGCCTTGGTAACTGCTTTTATTT